TCTCACGTACCACAGTGTGAAGCCTCTTTAATTACCCAGCAGAGATGATGGGCTTGAGCCGTATGGAACTGTCAAGTCCGCGTTTAGCTGAATGCTTTATCCATAGTGCCACTTGACCAGATACTACAGGCAGCCAAAACAGTCTCATGACTATTTTGGAAGGGTCCTGCTTAGGTTGTTATAGTCGAACTCCTTTGTCGAGGCTTTTCTTTTGCATGGTGTTAGAGAGACTCATCCAGCAGTGGATTCACAATCGTGCTGTACAGGTACATATAATGCCGTCAGTTTTTCAGAAAACCTTTTGCGGGTCCATCTCTGTCAATCTGCTATTCAATGTCTACACCCGTACGTACACAAATGTGCAAAGGGGGCCCATTGTTATATTTATGTTTTTCAGGATTATGTTGCCTTGTCCATGGCACTTGCCCAAACCCGCAACCCGTGTTCCCGAACAGAGTGTGCTTCTCTAAAAGTGGCTGGAGGTGTAAAAAAAAAAATCTTACACATTTGGCTATTTCGAATGACTTCAGTTCTCCCTGGCCACTGGGGAGAAGGGAGAGAACGCGATCTTCTGCCTGCGACAGGTGCGCGGAGCGACGCTCAATTGTTGGAACGTGACACGGCGGATAGCGCCACGTGCTCTCTCCGTGGAGCCCTTCACAACCACGCGGGGGTGAGACCGTGTCAGCATCGCCTGCGGTCGGAGTGCTCGCGTGGGCGAGCACTCCGCGCCAGGCGGCCTCCCTGCCGCTGGACATAGCCCACAAAGTCACGGTGCGCGCTGTATAAATAGCGCGCACATCAGCGGTGTGTGCACGTTCGTTCCCTGATGCCCGTTCGCTCATTGGTTCGCTCCCTTCCGCCTAGGCAGTGACATCTCAATGTCGACCCCGCTGCCAGAGAACGGAGTGCTCCTGCGTGGTTGGGGGGGGTCACTTTACCGCGTCCAATCCAACTTTTTGCGGGCCAGCAACGCGCTGCTTCGTATATAGTTTTGCCTTTTGTTTTACTCCCAGTTTTGCTCCCATTTGTGTGATTGGTGGCATGTCGAGAGATGAAGCAATTTACATTCTTAATTCTGAAGTGGCATCGCATCATGCCAGAAGACGCTACAGAACTACTTCTGGTCTCATACAAGATGCAAACTTTTATGTGTCATGCAAAATAGTGTTATCTGCATGACAATGAAACCAAAGTGATGTAGTTCTCAGTGGCAGCAATTTCATATAAAGCTTTTTTTGGTCCAGTTTTTGGTGACCAGAACATGCGGTTGTGGTTTTACTTCTTCACCACACTCGTCTGTGTCTGGACCCTGAATTGAAACTCGGGAAGCCAGTGGTACTATTTCAGTGCTTTTGAACATGGGCATTATTACAACCTTTGAACCACTCTGGTTCCCCTATCACTGATTCGCTTCACAGGTATGTCATCAGTTTCTCGCATGCTTAAAAATAATCCATGAGCTGCTGAATTGTCATCGCTCTGCATCACACAAGAGATTGCTAAAAGGTTATGAAAGCGGTATATTAAACGTACACGCACTTGCTGCTGATTACTGGTGCATAAAAATGCGGCTTCGCGAATAAAACAAGCTATATAGCTGGTGCAGCACTTTGTTTATGTACGTGCTATTTATCTTAAATAGGGGGTACGTTATATTCTTGGTTCTTTCGGGTAAAGTCACGTAGAAAGGAAAAGTCAGAGTGTTAATACATTTTAAACGTGGGTGCCAGTCAATGAAAGGGCGTCCACTGTTGACCACCCACAAAGTTGTACTCGTTTTATTGACCAAGGAGGGATGATTGGCATAGTCCCGTTCCCCCCCCCCCACTAGGATTTCAACTTTAATCCTTTAATTTTTGGTTACTTTTTTCTAACCACAGTCACTTAGCCAGATCATTATAATTGAGAGGAGATGTTTAAACAAAATTGTCCTGAGGGTAAATAAAGGTTGCTTTCTAAAAGGCATTTGGACCAAAATAAAATGTGGCAATATTTACTTTATTTATCCAGGAAAGCTTTACAATCTAGAGATTGTTCATGGGTATTTGAGGACACTAGATTGCTCCGATAAAATCAATGCATTTGATGGTTTATAACATCCACAAGTCTGTGCAGGTAAGTCGTAAGAAATTGCCACTTAATATCTCGTGCACAACAATGATCACAACATTAGTACGCCGTACGTATACCAGTGCCTGCTTTTTTTCACCGTGCCATATGGCTTGTGTTTATTGTTTTGGTTTGTAAAGTGCATGGGGGGGTGAAGTAAATCCAGAAACAGGTGGCCCAGGCATCACTGTTTCAGGTCCGTTGTCGCCGCATCTGGTTTTTCCCGTGGTGTTCTTCGTGTGGGCCTCGCGAATCAGAAAGCACGCCGGTGAGCTATGGGCTCAGCTCTGGAAATGAAGCCTGCGTTAGCTAGATTTATTGGCTTCACGTGGGTGAGCAGAAAATTGGCTCTGTGAAAAGTGGCTTCGTGATGTTTGTAAAAGGCCATGTTGCCGATGACAGAAGAGGCCTGTATTTGCACTTGGCCATTATTTAAATGGGGCAATTTTATTTAAAAGCACTTTTACTTCCAGTTATTCACAATAAAAGCTTTGTCCATCAGTGTCCTTTTAATGACCCATTTCAGGTTATGTAAGTCAGCTTTTTTGAATGGATGTTGTCTGGATAAACCATTGTGTAGCTGAAGCACGTTGCATTCTGTGCACCATGATTAAAATTAATCAAAGGTTTTGGGACTAAAATACTTCCAATTAGCATTCAGGTCTTCCTCCACTGGGGCATTATTCAACTACATTGACAACTTTGAATCCAGTGTTTATAAGTGCATGCCAATCTCTCCATACTGCAACCACCGTTGGCTCTGCACAAAATGGTAACTATTTGTATCCACCTTAGAGGGATGGCTGACGGGGACAACACGAACAATATCTCCGCATATTGGCCGGTATAATACTTGTCTTTCTAACTTTCGCAGGCCGCCTCCATTGCCCTATGTGTTTGTGTGCTATACACAATAGTAATCTGTTATGTAATCCATCAACCCTGCCTCTAAGGTGCTGCATTGCAGATAGGTGCCACCAAACACACGTGCTGTCTCTCTTCGACAATTAACAAAGCACTTGAGGCCGCCGGCGATGCTAAAGATTTCACAATCGACGAGCGTCAATCCCAGTGGTGAAGCGAAAATGAATGTTTGTTCTTTTTTCCTCCTGGTACATCGGGGTAAGGTGCCCTGAGCCTGCCCCCCAATGCTTCCCAAAGCCTGATCTCACCCTGCATCTCAAACTCAGGACAGCCCAGCACGCGCACGCTTGCGCGCGTGTTGGTTTGCGAAACATCTGTTGTCTCGGTATCATCGTTGAGACTGCGAGATGGCTTCAACGTGGGCTGCGGTGACACGCCGGTGCCAGAGCGCACACGCGCGTAACAAATTATTGTGTTCGATTATTGTATTCGCTGTGACAAGGGGTGGGTTTCTCAGCTGTGGATTTATGTTTTCTCCAGTCTCGATGAGGGTATGACAGGTCTGCATTGAGTTTCTGGTGTTTTGGAATTCAAACATTTTTTTGATACCACGTATATTATATATAGTTTGTGATTTATTGTAATGTTACATCCTTTGTAATGATGAATCATTTGTCTCGGACAGCAGTGATCTCATGAGGCATATATTCATATGCACAATTCATACTTTGGTTATGGATACACTTAACTCAATAATTTTGGGTTCATTAAATCTAATGGATGAATTCAAAGACTTTATTTTTGCCAGGTGAGAGCTCGTTGAGACCATGTTGAGACCTCGTGTTTCTTGCAAGGGTGACTTGGGTTGACATTTGTGAGCACCACCGAGTGGTTAAGTTTTTGGAGTCGGTCTCTTGGAGACACTGGCCCCACACCATGGAAATGTGGAATTGTAACCGCTATCTGACGGCCAACAGCAGAGATAATACGAGGTCACTTTGACTTTTTGAATTTGACCCATTTGCACAGCTGTTGCAAAATGGATCGTTGCCTGTGTGTGTGTGCAAAACATTTATAATGGTTGATATATTTTATTATTGTACATAAATCACTGGCACGTCATTTATACTACATTTATGATACGCAGCACTTCTCTTCACGCAGTAACGTTCAAACATCGGGAGTGATTTTCACCCAACACTATTTTAGACGACACTTTTTCCAATAGAAATCACTCATGCTTGTTTGACAAGAGCACGGTTTCACTGCCGCAGTGAGACTATGTGATGACTTTGGAAAGCCAGTAACTATTGTATTTAAGTTCATGTGCTTTTATGTGCGCGCATGTGTGTGCAGGTAAGTATCCTTGACCAAGTTTCTTGTGTAAATACCATCACGAGGAAGACCAAGGTGGTCAGGCATGGTGCTGGCCATATCTCTCCTGTATGCAACACCAGCTTTAGTGTGTATGTGCAGTCTAATGCCTTAGTCCCCACAGCCAGTGGGAAATGTGCTGGCTATATGAGCCCTGTGTGCTTCTGGCAACCAGGGTCCGATCGGGTCGAACTGATCCCACGGTCTCGTAACCTGGCCCTCGGGCTGACTTTTAAACCGGACCTCGCGCTTAGAATCAGGTTGATCTCAGAACTAGCCATGTTTAACTTCCTGGCTGTAAATGAACCTACCGCTTAGAACATTAGATCAATCAATCTTTATTTTGTGCCATTATACGCCCCTCAATAGATAAGGCATCAGTGCACATTACAGCAGAACGGGAATGAACATCTCTTCCGCTAACCCCCACCCTCGAGCCATGTAAAGTGAAGGAGGTTGTGTAGGGGTCGGAGCGAACGGATCTGATGCCGCCAAAGCCTTATGGGTGATGAAACCAAGCAAATGTCTCGGCGCCTATTGCTGTTCCCCCTGCTTGAGTAAATGAGGCCCTTGTCACTATGGTTAGCAAAGCTGACCCAGGGTGTCTGTGTCTGTGTGTGTGTGCGTGCGCACGCCCAACTTGGGAGCAGGCGTAGACCAGGACGCGGCACGCAAGGAGGAGGAGCAGGTGATGATGCGCGACGCTCGCCAGTGGCTCAACAGTGGACGCATAGACGAAGTGCGGCACCCTAAGTCGGGCGGCACCGCTCTGCACGTGGCCGCCGCCAAGGGCTACATCGACGTCATCAAGTGAGCGCCCCCTGCGCTGCGGCCACGGCGGCCATGGGGTCCACTTGTTGCACTGGTGCAACGTTAGACGTCAGCGTGGCGGTTGGCGCACCGCGTGACGAACCCTGGCAGGCGACATTTCGATTCCTGGTCACGGCTTACATCAGCGGTGATGATATGAACTGGTCCAGGGCCTCCTCTAGGCTCGTAATCAGAATATTTATTCATACTGGAGGAGGAATCCGATGAGCTATAATGCTCTTTTGCACAGATGTCCAGCCGGGGGTGGGTCAGGACGTTAGAAAAACAAACAATACAAAAACACGATAGGAGTGCAAAGTATAGTAAAGGTAAACAGATCATCCAAAAACATACAAATAAAACTAAACCGTCCCCATCCTACCTGGCAAAGCCCACAGATACAGAAGCGACCTAATTATGCAAGCATCACTGCTGAGGAGACGAAGGTGTCCTGGGTGTGGTGCTAATAATAATAAATACATTTGAATTTATCAAGTGCCCTTAAACAATCGTTCTCGGGGCACTGGACCGCATCACCCGCCCCGCTCATCGTTCCCGGAGCCCGTCAGCCTTAATCGTTGCTCATTATTAGCACCTGTGTCCCCCCCCGACATTCTGTATGGCTGTAGGGGCATGTCTCTCTTTGCTTGCGTGGCCGCGTAGGCTGCTGCTGCAGGCGGGCTTCGACGTGAACGTGCGAGACAACGACGGCTGGACTCCGCTGCACGCCGCCGCGCACTGGGGCAAGGATGAGGCGTGCCGCGTGCTTGTCGAGAACTTCTGCAACATGGAGGCGCTCAACAAAGTGGTCGGTGGTCGGGCGCGCGGCGCCACTGCAGCACCGCGCACGTTGATTATTCGTCCGCGTTTATTTGTGTTGGATTCGATAAATGTGAGGGTCACTTTGTTGGATTACAAGTGGGTTATGTCCTCTGCCATTGGGACGTTGTAAATATTTTGACTGCTGGCTCTCGGGGGGGGGGGGGGGGTCACCGGCGAAGGTGAGTGGTCACCCGCGTTGTTTCGTTTTGAGCAGAATGGGGGGACACTTTGACATAATGGCACTCACTTGGGGTACAAAAAGTTACTGAATGCCCCATGGGCTGGTCACCCAGGTCCAGGTTAGCCCTGTGGGCTAAGTAGCCTCCAGCTCAGGCCCTTCATCTAAGAAGGGGGCCTGCGAGTTAAATTGTCACCCTCCTCGTCCCAGCTTCTCATTGACCCCCTGGAAACAGGGTTCTTAATTAAGTGTGTTAGCCCACATTGTCTCATGATGAGACGTTCTGATGATACAATGGATGCCAGCTCGTAACTCGTTGGAATAGGAGACGCTTGAAGCTCACACTTGTCAGGTCTCACCACGCATTCCGCTGTCCGCGTGCCTTGTTGCGATGCAGGGGCAGACGGCGTTCGATGTGTCCGACGAAGACGTGCTCAGCTATTTGGAAGAGCTGCAAACGAAGCAGAAAACGGTACGTGGGTATGGCAGCCACCTTCTGCCCCCCCCCCCCCTCTTTGGGGATAGGGTTAGGTTGGCTTGTCTTCTATACCCCCCCCTAGGGTTAGGTTGGCTTGTCTTCTATACCCCCCCCCCCCCCCTCTTTGGGGATAGGGTTAGGTTGGCTTGTCTTCTACAGTGAGGGAAAAAAGTATTTGATTCCCTGCTGAATTTGTACATTTGCCCACTGACAAAGAAATGATCAGTCTATAATTTTAATGGTAGGTTTATTTGAACAGTGAGAGACAGAATAACAACAACAACATCCAGAAAAAGGCATGTCAAAATGTTATATATTGATTTGTATTTTAATGAGGGAAATAAGTATTTGACCCCCGCTCAGTCAGAAAGATTTCTGGCTCCCAAGTGTCTTTTATACAGGTAACGAGCTGAGATTAGGAGCACACTCTTAAAGGGAGTGTTCCTAATCTCAGCTTGTTACCTGTATAAAAGACACCTGTCCACAGAAGCAATCAATCAGATTCCAAACTCTCCATCATGGCCAAGACCAAAGAGCTCTCCAAGGATGTCAGGGACAAGATTGTAGACCTACACAAGGCTGGAATGGGCTACAAGACCATTGCCAAGCTGCTTGGTAAGGTGACAACAGTTGGTGCGATTATTCACAAATGGAAGAAACACAAAAGAACTGTCAATCTCCCTTGGCCTGGGGCTCCATGCAAGATCTCACCTCGTGGAGTTGCAATGATCATGAGAACGGTGAGGAATCAGCCCAGAACTACACGGGAAGATCTTGTCAATGATCTCAAGGCAGCTGGGACCATAGTCACCAAGAAAACAATTGGTACACACTACGCCGTGAAGGACTGAAATCCTGCAGCTCCCGCAAGGTCCCCCTGCTCAAGAAAGCACTAATACATGCCCGTCTGAAGTTTGCCAATGAACATCTGAATGATTCAGAGGACAACTGGGTGAAAGTGTTGTGGTCAGATGAGACCAAAATGGAGCTCTTTGGCATCAGCTCAACTCGCCGTGTTTGGAGGAGGAGGAATGCTGCCTATGACCCCAAGACCACCATCCCCACCGTCAAACATGGAGGTGGAAACATTATGCTTTGGGGGTGTTTTTCTGCTAAGGGGGCAGGACAACTTCACCTCATCAAAGGGACGATGGACGGGGCCATGTACCGTCAAATCGTGGGTGAGAACCTCCTTCCCTCAGCCAGGGCATTGAAAATGGGTCATGGATGGGTATTCCAGCATGACAATGACCCAAAACACACGGCCAAGGCAACAAAGGAGTGGCTCAAGAAGAAGCACATTAAGGTCCTGGAGTAGCCTAGCCAGTTTCCAGACCTTAATCCCATAGAAAATCTGTGGAGGGAGCTGAAGGTTCGAGTTGCCAAATGTCAGCCTCGAAACCTTAATGACTTGGAGAAGATCTGCAAAGAGGAGTGGGACAAAATCCCTCCTGAGATGTGTGCAAACCTGGTGGCCAACTATAAGAAACGTCTGACCTCTGTGATTGCCAACAAGGGTTTTGCCACCAATAACTAAGTCATGTTTTGCAGATGGGTCAAATACTTATTTCCCTCATTAAAATGCAAATCAATTTATAACATTTTTGACATGCGTTTTTCTGGATATTTAGTTGTTATTCTGTCTCTCACTGTTCAAATAAACCTACTATTAAAATTATAGACTGATCATTTCTTTGTCAGTGGGTAAATGTACAAAATCATCAGGGGATCAAATACTTTTTTCCCTCACTGTATACCCCCCCCCCCCTCTTTGGGGATAGGGTTAGGTTGGCTTGTCTTCTATACCCCCCTCTTTGGGGTTAGGGTTAGGTTGGCTTGTCTTCTATACCCCCCCCCTCTTTGGGGTTAGGGTTAGGTTGGCTTGTCTTCTATACCCCCCCTTTTTGGGGTTAGGGTTAGGTTGGCTTGTCTTCTATACCCCCCCCCCTCTTTGGGGTTAGGGTTAGGTTGGCTTGTCTTCTATACCCCCCCTCTTTGGGGTTAGGGTTAGGTTGGCTTGTCTTCTATACCCCCCCCTCTTTGGGGTTAGGGTTAGGTTGGCTTGTCTTCTATACCCCCCCCTCTTTGGGGATAGGGTTAGGTTGGCTTGTCTTCTATACCCCCCCCTCTTTGGGGTTAGGGTTAGGTTGGCTTGTCTTCTATACCCCCCCTCTTTGGGGTTAGGGTTAGGTTGGCTTGTCTTCTATACCCCCTCTGGGGTTAGGGTTAGGTTGGCTTGTCTTCTATACCCCCCTCTTTGGGGTTAGGGTTATGTTGGCTTGTCTTCTATACCCCCCTCTTTGGGGTTAGGGTTAGGTTGGCTTGTCTTCTATACCCCCCTCTTTGTGGATAGGGTTAGGTTGGCTTGTCTTCTATACCCCCCCTCTTTGGGGTTAGGGTTAGGTTGGCTTGTCTTCTATACCCCCCTCTTTGGGGATAGGGTTAGGTTGGCTTGTCTTCTATACCCCCCTCTTTGGGGTTAGGGTTAGGTTGTCTTGTCTTCTATACCCCCCTCTTTGGGGTTAGGGTTAGGTTGGCTTGTCTTCTATACCCCCCCCCCCCCTCTTTGGGGTTAGGGTTAGGTTGGCTTGTCTTCTATACCCCCCTCTTTGGGGATAGGGTTAGGTTGGCTTGTCTTCTATACCCCCCTCTTTGGGGATAGGGTTAGGTTGGCTTGTCTTCTATACCCCCTCTTTGGGGATAGGGTTAGGTTGGCTTGTCTTCTATACCCCCCCCCCCTCTCTTTGGGGATAGGGTTAGGTTGGCTTGTCTTCTATACCCCCTCTTTGGGGTTAGGGTTAGGTTGGCTTGTCTTCTATACCCCCCCCCCCCTTTTTGGGGTTAGGGTTAGGTTGGCTTGTCTTCTATACCCCCCCCCCCCTCTTTGGGGTTAGGGTTAGGTTGGCTTGTCTTCTATACCCCCCCTCTTTGGGGTTAGGGTTAGGTTGGCTTGTCTTCTATACCCCCCCCTCTTTGGGGTTAGGGTTAGGTTGGCTTGTCTTCTATACCCCCCCCTCTTTGGGGATAGGGTTAGGTTGGCTTGTCTTCTATACCCCCCCCTCTTTGGGGTTAGGGTTAGGTTGGCTTGTCTTCTATACCCCCCCCCCTCTTTGGGGTTAGGGTTAGGTTGGCTTGTCTTCTATACCCCCTCTGGGGTTAGGGTTAGGTTGGCTTGTCTTCTATACCCCCCTCTTTGGGGTTAGGGTTAGGTTGGCTTGTCTTCTATACCCCCCTCTGTGGGGTTAGGGTTAGGTTGGTTTGTCTTCTATACCCCCCCCCCCCCCTCTTTGTGGATAGGGTTAGGTTGGCTTGTCTTCTATCCCCCCCCTCTTTGGGGTTAGGGTTAGGTTGGCTTGTCTTCTATACCCCCCTCTTTGGGGATTGGGTTAGGTTGGCTTGTCTTCTATACCCCCCTCTTTGGGGTTAGGGTTAGGTTGTCTTGTCTTCTATACCCCCCTCTTTGGGGTTAGGGTTGGTTGGCTTGTCTTCTATACCCCCCCCCTTCTTTGGGGTTAGGGTTAGGTTGGCTTGTCTTCTATACCCCCCTCTTTGGGGATAGGGTTAGGTTGGCTTGTCTTCTATACCCCCCCCCCCTCTTTGGGGATAGGGTTAGGTTGGCTTGTCTTCTATACCCCCTCTTTGGGGTTAGGGTTAGGTTGGCTTGTCTTCTATACCCCCCCCCCTCTTTGGGGATAGGGTTAGGTTGGCTTGTTTTCTATACCCCCCCCCCCCCCAACGGTGCTCCTGCCCTCTTGCCAAATATGGCATTTTGAGATTTTGTACCATTTTCAATTTTGGTGTTTATACCGCCCCTCAAGTAACGATTGTTTACTTTGCTAAAGTTTTCAAAGGCGTGCACGCGGTACTCTTTTTCTAAACACCCTCTCCTTTAAAATGTGTACTTTAAATTGTTGATAATTGTGGAGAGAGTGTTATCAACATTTTAGTGCTTTTAAAATCCATACATTGCATTTCATCTTCGCCACTAGCATATGGTTTGTACACTCGTGGCTGATGTTGATGAACAGGCCTGAATTCAGTGGTTAGCGGACTTCACTACGACCAATAACAGTGGCGAATATCTTAACCTGGTCCTGGGGCCTCCCCTTGGTCAACTTGGCCTTAAAGTAGTACCTGATGTGGTGTGTAAGCGTGAGCTATGGGGTGACAAAGTCGGCCGGGAGTGGTGCTGACCACCCCACCCGCTCATGTGCCGTGCCCGCCTTCATAGGTGCTCTCTAATAACACTTGGCCCTGCAGCCTGGAAGGCTATATACGGGGGGAATCATTATCTTTGTGTGTATGTGTACATGCTCTCTCTCGTCACAGATGAAGATCGAGAAGGAGAAGCAACCCATTAACAGCGAGATAATCGAGTCGAATGACACCAACTCCATCAAATCTAGAGGGTAAGGGTTTCGCGGTTGCCAAGCGCCTAACTTCCAGATGTATAAGCCTGCATGTTTAAACATGGAGTGGCATCCAACACGGAGTACAACCCTGATGAGTAGGGTGGTGCATCTAAGTCAAAGCAAAGACTACTCAATAATATCCAATAACATGCTCAGTCTTATTGACGATCAATCTCCTGCCTGTCTTTCGAATAACTGATACTTTTAAGATCAGAGCGCCTCTGAAGTCTCACATTGCTGTACATCTCAGAATTTGGTTTAATCACCGGTGACTGGAGCCTGAATTCAAGCTCAATTGTCTCATAATTCATGACTTGAGCAGGGTGATGAACACCTTAAGCCACCCAGTCGTCTACTTATATTATTGACAAAGCACTGTTCATATTCCGTCACTGGGAGTGTCGCTTCCTCGTTGATGATGCACTGACAATCACCGCGCATGTCCTGAGTGGAAAAAATAATTATTTGGTGGCGGAAGTGCCATTGATAGATGTAAATTCACGGGTGGAATGTGGCGGTGAAGCATTGAGCGGTGGAAGCAAATGATCCATGTACAAATAGAGGTTGAAGTTTGCTGTGTCGAAAAGGTCACTGTGTTTTGGAAAACATGTTGCCACTAAACATATAATAACATTGACAAAGCTATGCATGATTGGTTATGGAATCCCCTGGTCGCTCGCTGGTTATGACATGTACCATAAATTCTTAAGCCAAAGGGACGCGCATGGCATGACGATACTGTTTTATGTTTTTATTATTTTATTGTTTCCCTTCTACGTGACTTTACCGAAAGTATCAAGAATAAGAATGTGATGATACTTGTTGTATTTGATGGCAAATGAATGCAGTCATTGAATTGTAAAACATAAGCTGCTGTATATAACCATGTTGAAGTGAGCAATATTTTTTATGAGGCCATTATGTTCCATTTATGATTAGCTCCTCGCAAATGTTATATTCACAACAGTTCAAATTTTATCATTGGCACACACTACAGATCCCCAGACAAGCCGTGTGATCTGATGTGGCCAGGCCCCTTAAACATGAAGAACAGATAGAGATTTGTTTTTCCAATGTCTCTTCCAAGCCAGGCCCCAGATGGTATTCCGGCTGTAAGAGGAACATACCAATGGCTGCCTTTGCATACTAATTACTTTTTTTTTTAGTGCACAACTTATTTTGAAAGTTATGGGAGAAGAGAGGAATGCAATGTATCTAAGAAAGACAAACATCGAGTGGCAGGAATCGGTCTTGGGCATAGAAACAGAAGAAATCCTGATGTGTTTTCAGGTTATACCGCGTGGTGCTTGGTACGATGTCTGACGTTTCGCTGCAGTTGCTGGGCGCTTTGACCGTTTCCATACAGCACAACTGCAAAAACCTATGATAGTGCGAATAATTCTGGCCGCTGCATTTTCGATCATCTGGAGTGTGGGGCTCATCTTTTTGCGGAGGCCACCTGAGAATGTTGGCAGTGGCTCCTTGGCATAAGCCCACAATGATTGCAACCCAGTTAATGAACAGAGAGAGGGCCCCTACACTCCCCCCTTGGTGTCGGCTGTTGCGAGCAGGAAGGAGGGTGATGGTGAGAGCAAGCACGACGAGACGAGCAGTTCCAGCTCCGAGGAGGAGGACGACGAGGATGAGGAGGAGGACCAGGAGGGTTCTGAGGCCGAGTCGCAGCCCGAGAACCACACAGGTACAGCCGGTCGCGCAGACTCTGCCAAACGAGCTCTCAATACAACTGTGGCCTCAACTACCATCTGATCATTGTCATTGTCCACGAAGCTCATGGTCCACCCTAAATAGCATCCGCACAAACCATGGCATATGTGGATAACCCGATGCACTAATATAAAATAAGAAACTGTCCAGCGTGCGACTGTGGGTATCCAGAACACACCAAACAACATATAATGATCTACTGCCCGATCCACAAATACGAAGGAGACTTTGCAGCGATATATTTCGCTGCTCCTGACGCAGTTAGCTGGCTTCAACACCTCAATATGAAATTGTAGTTGATGCTCTGCATCTACATCAGCAGCCATACGGGAGAAAGAAATAAAGATTGTTATTGTCAAGGTTACAGATGTGATGCACACATTTTTCTGACATGACACTGGGAAACTTCCTTTGGTTTGGCTAATGTTTTTCTTTGCGTTGATTGGCTTTATTATACACGAGTGAGTCCTGTCTTTATGATAATGTATTGTTAGCATATCGTTAGTTATATAGAGCGGTTTCAATGATGAATGTGGCAAGTTGTTTTTTTGCGCCTAAATACGAATACCCTTGCATCGTTGCAAAGGATATTAAAGTAATGCAGCGTGAATAGATTAAAGAGTGAAAGGAAATCGCCAATGGTCATCTGAGTGTGTTGGCAACTGCCCATACTTGATGCCTCCTGGCAGTCCCAACTGGCCCTGTTGCTGCTTTTTCATTTTATATAGAGAAAACCCCTGCCATACGTATTTCAAATTAGAACGTCAAACACAACGGGAATGTTTTTGAAGGGGATAAATGTATTTATTGCCATAAAAACATGTAATTAATTTTGCCTGTCTCTCTTACTCTGCTTCTCTCTTTTTCACTCTCACTGCTACTAGTGGTTCGTTATATTTCACTTCCTCCAGAGATTAACTCACTGCATACTTCTCCCGTGCTGTATCTCTCTCTGGTTAACTCATTCCGTATATCTCTGCTGCTCTCCCTTTCTGTTGCTCGTATTACATACCTCTCTCGTGCTGCCTTACAATTTCATCTTCTCTGCACTGAAATCATCTGTAGCAGTGCTGTTTTTCGAGTTGGTTGATGCGGGCCGATGCTCACCAGTGACACATTTGCTCATGATTTGTGACTAATGACCCATAACTGAGGCGCAACATGTGCGACAACCGCGGAGCATTCACTGGTGTGTTTGATTTTTTTAAAAGGAGGTAAAGTGTGATGTGAGCAGATTTCCTTTGCAATGTTATGCGGAGCACGCTAGTTGATGGGGAATTGTAACATTTTCTAAATGTACATTTAACAAAAAAAATTTGGAACTAAGTTTTTACATTTTGGAAAATGTGTGAAATGGGAATACAATAGAGGTTTCACTGCTTAACATGGACTAGAGCACAGCATTTGAGTGCTTCCTGTAATTTCTACCGGTGACGATAATATGACAATACTGACGTCATGGAATTGGTCATGCACATCAGTGGCAAAATGTATAATTGACCTGCCCTTAGCCTTCATCCTTCGGTCAACTTAGCCTTAATTGAGTAACCTGGTGCTGTCTACAACTACCCTGGCCTTAATTTCTGCTCACTCGCAAATCTAGTCCCCTTGGTCCACGCAGTTAACATTTAACCTTCATGCATACGATTACATATACGTACGTGACGTTAATTGTTTCTAAAAAGAAAATCTTATTTTTGACCTGCAGGGAAAAACCGGCCATCCGTCAAGGAGAACAACAACAACAACAAGGTGAACAACAACAACGAGGCGATGCCGGACAAGACGCCCGGCGTGACGCCCGCCGGGCCCGGCGTCCCCCCGACGTCGCGGGCGTCCTCGCACGGCCTCATTGTGCCGCCCTCTGCCCCCACGCAGACCACGCCCTCCCCGGCCCCGCTGACGGTGACGAACACCCAGCCGCCCGCGGCCGCCACCACCACCACCACCACCCCGACGTCGCCCTCCAGGAAGGTACGGGCCGGGATCCCGCTCGGCGCTGCCATTTTGCTTTAACAAAAAAAAAATAATAATAATTTCGTAGATGGCAAGAAGGTGTGTGGAAGAAGCCCTTCACCCAGCAGTTCATTGATGAATGGCATTACTTTAATGGAGCAGGTGACTCTGGGATAATCCCCGTTGCTTAGCTGGCGCTGCTCCTGAGTTGGTGTCTGGTTCCCAGACACTTGTGGTTGTAACATTAAAACTGGGTTCAAGTGTTGATCTGATGTCTTCAGCCTGGTCACCAGATTGCACAGTAAAACTTCTTGTATTGAGTTTAGTTTGTCACGTAGTTTTCTATATTCAATCTCTTAAAAATAACACATTTAGATTAATTGCCATGCCACAAGCACATAATTTGGTTATAGGCCTTTTGAAGGGACTACATTTGAATTTATCAGCTTGTGCTGAGTTTTGAACGTCATCCTCACATTCTTCTAGATACCCTTGGTTTTCCCCACTTGCGGTTAATGGAATTGGTCACACCACGAACCCTCTCCTGAAAAAGCCTTTTAAAGCTCTTCTCAATAAATCAAAGGGTCAGCCATTAAAGAAGGCACTTGGCCTTCAGTAGCACAACACCTTTTGCTTGTACTCCTTTTCTCTCGTCCTCCTCCCTCCGAGCCTCTTCAACTCCTCAAGTGTTTCTGCTTCCAGGAAGATGCCGATGTTGAAATGAATTACTGTATTCCTGTGTTGCATCCGAGTGTGGTATGTCTTGTTTCGTTTTATCTTTTTCTTCCGCCTCCTTTGTTGATTATTTTGCCTGTGCCTTGCCTGTACCTTTCTCTGTCTTTTGCTTTTCTTTCCCCTTTGTTCCGGGCGTTGTCCTCTCTGCCATCCCTCCGCGTGGCCCACGCTGCTGCCTGCCTGCCTGCCTGCGGCTGACCGTGTGGCGTGCGCAGCCTGAATTTGTAGCCGCCGCCACCTTGCCTGCAGTGGCACCGCTAGACCCGCTAACGTGGCGGCAGGGCCTGCGTAAAACCGGAATTCCGCTTGTGCCCCAGAAAGGGCAGGTAGTGGTGGCTCCTCTCTCCTTTAAATCCTCTTGTGTTTTGGAGTTTTTTTCCCACCTCCTCTCTCCTTTATATCCCCACAAATCCTCACGAGCCCATTAATCCCATCTCAGAAATTACCCGTGTGTGTGTGTGTGTGTTTGGTTTTGTGTGTTCCCAATACGTACAACGTTAGATAATACATTGTTGAGCATAATGTCCACGTTTTACCTTGGCACTTTTATGACCCCTCTTTTGCAAATATTTCACTGACTTCCTGGCAGCCTTTAGACTTAATTTTCTTGTATAATACTTGATTTAAAATAAAAAAATATATATCTGTGCACCTCAAAGCTATGAGATTTTTTTTTAAACTCTTGACAACATTGCATAGTCCAAGTTGAAAGAACCGCAATGTTTTCATAAAAGGGGGTCAGTTGAAATATAAAGCCAAATAAAAATAGAGGAAATATCCCCAACTTGTTAAAGTAACCCACTCTACCCAGAATCCCTCGCTTCAGACGACTTCCCCCCTCTCCCCCCCCACCGCTAACCGTCGCGCATGCACGTACGCATGCGTCTGCTGTCGTTCACATGCGCCTCCTTACCCAGACCTCCTTAGCCACCCCCTCCACACCCTGTACCTGCTGTCCCTCGACTCACATCGACTCCCCCGGGTGTTTGTCCCCCGCCCCCCCCTCCACCCTCGCTCAGTTCCCGAGCTCGTTCCCGCGAGCCGGCGCGGGCGGCATCGCCGCTCCCAAGGAGGAGGAGAAGAAGACCGTGGACGTTGCGCCCCCTGCCAGCGCACCCGCCTCATGGCGCTCGGGCCTGCGCAAGACCGGTAGCTACGGCGCGCTGCCTGAGGCGGCGGCGGCGGCGGCGGCGGGAGCGGCGGGAGCGGGCGAGCCGCCGCGTGACGCCCTCCGCGAGAGGGGCGACGTCACGCAGGCCGGCTCGGGGATCGCCCGCTCGGCCTCGAGCCCCCGGCTCACCACCACCGAGACGCGCGAACGCGAGAGGGTGAGTGTGTGTGTGTGCGAGTGCGTGCGTGCGTGCACGCTGGGCTCAACACTCGATCATCCTCGCAGCAGCAGCGGCTTTTGGGTAACCGTTGAACGAAGATGGTTAGTGCATCGTGCGCTTTCAGATTCGCTTCATGCGGGCGTCTGAAACGCTCTTCCTGATGATATTAGGATGGCGCTTGAGCTATGCACTTTTAAATCTAGATTCTAAACTTATTTCTTTAGAACTGCTTTTTGTGTTTAGTTTCTTCTGGACATCTGTAGTTTCTTCTGGACATCTGTGAAAAAGAGATGTATCGCTCATTGGATTCCTCCAGTATACATTTATATTCTGATTCTGATTGTTGTCCTTCCCCCGCACCTCCTGTGAGCACGGTTGGCTACGTATGGTGCGAAAAAAGTTCTACATGCATGCGTTCAGTTTCCGTGTCGTTCGTGGTTCTTACGGTCACGAGCGGTGGTACAGAGGTTGCTATGCTGCCCTGGGTGTGAAGATCCTTTGATTTACTATTGAAAAATGCGATGTCATATGAAAGGAATGGAAGTATTGCACTGGAAGAAGCTGGTTTTCCACAAGCGTGTAGCGTGTAGCCCGTGCCGTGTACGTGTGATTTGCTGCAGTTGGCTGTTTATTGCATCACATCAAAAGGACAGGGTACTATTTTTATAGCTGCTACCCAACACGTACACACATGACCAAATTCACAATGGGTGCAATGTCATGTGTCTTTATATATAGGCATTATCTAGGTATGTAGTTATTTACACGATCAAAAGGCAAATTTGTCTAGAATGCAATTACAATATTTTTAGATTTATGGAGCAGCGGAGGCATAATTGCATGTAAATATATAGCTGATCAAATATCTTCACGTGTCCCATGGATGGACTGATTCCTGCCGTATGAATGTGGAACGTTCAGTTGGATTGGCACGGGCTTAGTTGTGAACAATGCCCAAAAATACTGTTTCCCCCTCACTGGGTACAACAATGTGTATGTAAATAAGTACCACCACACACATGTATAGGAAAATAGGAATGGAGAGGGTAGGGTTTGTAGCTAGGGATACCAGTTCACTGCAACACTTTTTAACAAGCGTTCTATTACACTGCTTCGCCACCTCCATGGTTAGAGCCTTTGGGCAGTGTGGAGACACATTGCCTTGGCCTTCACGCATACCCACTGTGGCTTTGCTTTGTAAACCTGGCAGCCCGCGCTCATTGTGTTGATCCCGGGGCGTGCAGGCGTTGCTGGCGCAGCCGGCAGGAGAAAGGGACAGCCTGGGCACGAAGCTCGCCCGCGTCCCTCCGACCATCAGCGACAACAAGTTCGCGTTCCCGCGCAAGCTTGGGACTGCCGCCCTGGAGGAGAAGGAGAATAGGTGGGGGAATTTTCATGTAACGGCAATATATATAAGCAAACACGGTTCTCTATCGCCACATGTGAATACGTATTTTTAGTCCCATCGGCCCTCTTCGCTTTTCAGACCAATATTATCCAGAATTTTGTGTAAGCAAATCAACTTTGGACCAGTTCTGACTGAAGGAATGAAACGATATCGATTTATATTTGGGGGGGGGGGGGGGGGAATGTTCTACTTTATGAGCTTTTTCCCCTTAATGATTCACAACCACATGTAATGAGTTTGTATTTATGTCGTCTTCCTCATCATCATCATCAGCCATGTGCAATCCATTGCAAGACAAAGGCTTCATAAATCTGCCACCACCTCTCAAGATGCTGCGATGTATTTTGCACCTGCACACAAACTGATGGAAGTGCTCCATCTCCGTGTCTGAGAAGTGTAACATTCCTTGGGTGCCACTCTAGTTAATTACTTTTGACCGGCAGCCGTCATTAGTGTGTTGCTTTTCGTTATCAAGTCCAGCTTTTCAAAAGAACTCCAACCTGCTCTCATCTGTCTCTTTTTTTTACATATTGTAATTTCGTTTCTGCCTTCAATAGCTGTCGACGATACAAAAACACTGCTGTGTTTGACAGAAAACTCAAATTCTGTATGTAAAAATATATATATGTGATTAACTTCCTGCTCGGTGGTGCTTTGCTTAGAGTACGTGAATTTCAATCGGAAGGTCAAATCTTAGTTGGGCATTCACCCGGCCATCTACCTACCTCTGCGTTTGATTATACGTGTACAGCTTTGTGGGAAATCGACCGTGATTGTGCTTTTGATTGTTTGACCCCTGCTGTGGGAATGATACATTTCCACCACCGTCTCACGGCCACCAATCCGATTGAACATCACCCTAAAAGGTCGCTTGCGCAGAGAAACAAAAACACCGATGTTTTACTTTTCATATCCTCGCTGGGTTCACTTTGTGGGTGGGATAGTGATCGGTAACAAGAACGAGGCCCCCCCCACCCCCCGTGGCTCTCCACTTGACTCTCTTGGTTTTTTTAATTTTCTCTGCCTTTGTTTAAAGTCCCATCGTTTTTATTCATGGAGGGAAACGGTGATGCGCATTGCCGGCCAGTGTATAAAAATAGCTCATTATTATTGTACACTTAGCCAGTGGAAAGCTTATATTTTGCATTGTGTTCTTTCACCGAGCCAAAGATTCCCAAACGTATTTATTTTAAGTGAGCAGCAACTTCAGTGTGCCAATAAAAGCACACATGCTGTAAATGTCCATTTTTTTAACAGAACTTGAATTGAGCTGTGTGACCAAACAAACTGTTAACTTGGCCGTAAGCGGTCAAAAGTAAACTCTTGTCGTGATATATAAAATGAGTACCACTTGTAAGTCAACACTGGTGGTCCGTTACAGAGACTGGCTGAAGCCATGAGAACAGAAGCCAAAAAACACGCGAGTGTCGACTCATAACTTTAAGCCAGAGTATAATAAAAACTAAATAGCATTTCACTTGTGTTGCGGCACGCACTCTCCCCCCCCAACCCCACATTCACTGTTTGAACCCAATTTAATCTTTACAAGAAAACAGCCAGCTGTGGATGTTATACTTTAAGATTGACGTCCACGGGTACAAGGTGCTCATGTCTTCAGCTTAGCATGGGACACAAGGGGCCTCTGTGATTTCTCTTCCATTCTGCCTTATTCCATTGGTGCTTGCCAAAGTGAGGCAGGCTAGAGCGGGAGGATCCTTCTAGTGGGTCCATACCGGCAATGCTGCTCTTGCTTCTTGTTTGCTAAACTCTGGGCTCTTTCAGATGTATTTGACCTTCTATCCTAACAAGCGATCAATTCTGCATATTACAGGATTTTTTTTGTATACAGTAAAACCTTGGATTGCGAGTAACTTGGTCTGCGAGTGCTTTGCAAGACGAGCAACATTTGTAAATAAATATTAATTTGATAAACGAGCGAGGTCTTGAATACGAGTAGCACGTATACGCTTTGTCTGCCGAGCGTCACGTGATCACAACTGATATACGAGTGCTTTGATATACGAGTTCTTTGGATTACAAACACGTTTCCGGAACGAATTATGCTCGCAATCCAAGGTTTTACTGTATATCAAAATTAATTAATTGACAATCACATGCTAGATATGCTACGATAGCGACACTTGCCCAGAGGTGGCTCCTAATACAACCTGCGTTCAGTGTGTGTGTGTAGTCTTCTCATAGCGGAATTGTGTGTGTGTGTGTGTGTGCGCGCGTACTGTGTGCACGTGTGTGTACCGTGTGCACGTGTGTGTGTGTGTGTGTTTGCAGGGACACGGTGGGGATGCTTTTAGCTCGAAGTAGCTCCTACACCCGACGGAGATTCGATGATTCGAGCGAAAACACTGCACCCGCGTACCAGCGCAGGTACCCCTGGCATTGGTGTCTAACGTCATTCACATTCTCCCTGAAGTACAAGCGTGTGCAGCACTTTTGTCTCGTACATCGCTGGATGATATGTTGAGTTTAATTTACGAAGTAACTGCTTCGGTGAACTTAACACGTAAAATAACAGGTTAGTGAAAATTAATAAGAGGGTGTTTTTTTTTTTGCTACTGTCACTGAGGAAAAAAATAAATGCTTTCCAATATGTTAATGTTCAGATTGTCTGATAGAAGTGAAATGAGGTTTCTCATTGTGTTGACATCTTATTCAGCGCATTTAAAACCACATAATAGCTTCTCTGCAATAAAGGGGTCAGCACTTTGGTGCCAAACGTGCACTAAGCTGCGGATGTATTTTACCTATGATGAGCACTTGGCAGGTATAGCCGGAGTTTTGAATTAATTTGCCACTGTGAAAACTCTAAACCTTGCAATTATTGGCTCCTACAGCTTAGATTTCTCATTTACGGAACCTTTACCGCTGCGGTTTGTCGGTGGGTTATAATTAACAAAAAATCCCTTTCCCTGCGAGGAGAGGAGGAGGATACGCGCATCAATACACATTTTTGACTCACCTGACCACCACCATTGTTCACGAAAGGCTTTTTTTTATCGAGACAAGAGACCACGTGGGCAGTTATTAGCGGCAGTAAATGTTGCACGATGTTGGGGGGGGGGGAGAAATATAAATCAGTCTGTGTGCTGAATAAAAGCAGGCATCCTCAGTGTTTTGTTATTCTAGGTGGCGTGAGCATACTCACTCCGCTGCCTGTATGTAAATGTATTAAGTGACAAAGGGACAGGCGATCTTGACGTTTTACTGCAAGGCAAGTTTGTATATTTGGCAAAGGTGTTCATTGTCTGGCACTGAACTTGTTGTGCATAAAAATTGGCGATGCACCGAATAACATTTATATTATCATGCAAAGTTATAAGTCCAATCAGATATGGCTTCAAAGGTTGATAGTCATATCTATATTTTATGAAATAAAACAAACCATATTTCCAGGCCAAACTACTAAACTGCACCCTCCAAATCACACACTGCACATTCACATACCAGAGCCCCTTTATACACATCACACCGCCTTAACCGCACACCATGCCATATTTCACTAGAACACCTTACTCCATCCCTCACACCTCACCAAACACCCTGAATCCCCCTACACACCCCTCATACCTGGCTACCCCTCATCGCAGACCCCTCATCCGATAATTTACACCCTGCCACTGCATCACAAACCCACCAGGCACCACGCACCTCTCACCGCACAGTACATAAGGGAGTGGTGCGGCCTTAATCGGTGATGATGATCCGGTTGTGGAAATATGGTCGTAAAGTGGATATTCGGTGCACCTCTATAAATAATAGTAACAACGATGAAGTAGGTGACTATTCAAACACCGAAGAATAAAGGGAATGATCCAAGAGGTAAAACCCGTCGAAGAGAACTGTGCATGCCCTATGGTTGCTCCATGCTGCAGGCTCGACTGCTTCCTTTACTACGTGGGCAAATGGCAAAGAGGTTCTTTATCATCGCTGTGCTCAACTCTCGTGCTGGCATGCGGGATGGGAGAGGGCAGTGTGTGTGGCGGGTGGGGGGTGAGCATGAATGCCGTCCTTCCCTCTATCCCAAGGTTGTTCCTCTTATCCGCTCAAACGCGCCCCGCTCAAGGCAACTGCCCCCCGCCGTACCTGCAGTCCTCTAAGGCTGGGGGGGGAGGGCTTGTGTAAAGTGACCGCGGGTATTGCGCGCGTCCATGATGAGGGTGTGACGTGATGCAAAAAAAGTGGTGACCACCAAACGTAATTTCTTTCACCTCTTGTTTCAAGCTGTCAAATCAATTTGATGTACTCATAACCGGGTGAGAGTGCATTGAGGCAAAAAAAAAAACCTCTTTTGTAAAGGGTGGCCTGGGGTAAAATACAAACACAAAAATAATTGCAACGGCAAAAAATGTAACGGTCATTAAGCAGAAACACAAAACAACCAAGTAATCGTCATCATCAACCGGTAAGGTGGCTCGGTAATGGAGTGAGTGGTTCATAATCAAAAGGTTAATATCCTGGTTAGGGATTTGACGCAGCCCATCATCCTTCCAGGGTCGATAAATGAGTACCGCTTTGTGGCAAAGTTAAACAGTGGTTTTCCTGTGGATACACTTGCCTCCGCCATAGGAATATGGAATTTCCACCACTGCCACGGCGTTCTTTTGAGCAAGTAATGACTCCGACTTTTGACTTTTTGAACCCTTGTAAATAATCAAAACTAGAGTTTGATTACCTAAATTCCCAGAATCCTTTCTTTTAGGGATATAGGTGTAAATCCAGTTTCAGTTGCTAGGCAGTGGAGACCTGATCAGGTGAGCAGTGACTTCTCAATTTTGAAGGAATAAGCTAGTTGTTTATCTCTGCAATGGATCATCCATATTTAATTGCCATTACACCTTTGAGTCTTCAAAATGAAATTGCATTTGAGAATTTTAATAACTTCTCGCTGAATATGTAATTGCCGTTGGTAGCCTTTACCCTGACCCTAACACCGAGTAAGAAGTCAATTTTAAACCTAATTCGTTCTTGGCTATTGTCATTGGGCATAAGTCATCATAAAGCACTTCCATTGATCCATCTTTATCTTGCTGGCTGGCTCCAGATGCCACCTCTAATTTTTCAAAAAATTTTTACACGTATTAAATCTGACGTGGATGGGAAACAATCGGCAAAGGTTCCTGTAATCGATCACAACATCCCAGGAGATTGTGATTACCATATATCTCATCTCATTTTGGCTCTCCATCACTTTTTTGCATCACGGCGCATTGTTACATTTTGCAGCACAGGTATAAAATTTTTGCTCCTGTATCCATCCAGGAAGAGGACTGCATGCCTTGTACGTTGTCACCTTCGCCTCGCTCCTTCATGACTTCATCCCCTGGGATGCTGCCGGTCCCTCTCCTCTCCAGACCGTCGCACTTGCTCTCTCAATGTTCCTTCATCCCCAATACCTGTATATTTACATTTGTAATCTCCCTGTTTTTCTCCTCCCTGTCTTTCTGTCGACGCCGTCATTTTAGCAGCCCCAACGGGAGGCACGGCGGAGAGGTCTCTTCTTCTGACTCTTCCTCAGGCCTCTCGCCCTCCTCACCCCCTCCGGTCCTCCCCACCTCCACGTCCACCACTCCTGTGCCCACAGTCCGTGTCTCGGACGACGTTACGAACGTTACTAGCACTGCCCCAGTCTCTGCCGTAGCCCCCTCAGTGGGCAGGTAAGACCCTGTGGGTGGGTGGCTGTGTGGGTACAAGCCCTCCGCTTTGTCATCGTGCCTATCCTGTGTGCGCCTCGCTTGTCCCCCCCTGCTTGCTTGGTCTCTGCTGTGCGCTTTTGGAAACGAGAACAAACGCAGGTCGGCTCCCTTAACTCATGGTTTCTCTAACTCCAGTTCTAGCAACCAGCTCGGCACAGCTGAGCACTTGGAGAATACATTTTCCAGGCATGGTAGCGCACACCTGTCGTAACACTTTAGAGGCAGGGTTGGTGGATTGTTGAGATTGTCAAGTGCCACGAGTTGCCAACCTGAAACCAGTAGATGATGGCACACTGCAAATGGATGTCTGCTGTGTCTGAATTTTGAAACGTTATTTCCTATTGGTAAGGGGCATTTTCCCCAGTTACTTTGGTTTCCCACCTGGACATATAAATGCGCCATAACCAATTAGCCCAACATGCTCAGCAGATAGCCGTTCTGGTTAGGTGGGCTTAGTTTTGACCCTTTACTGTGTATATAAATTTTTTTTAATTATTAACATTGTACTTGGGTGTGTGCGCCATGTTCCAATCCAAATTTATGTTTGCATACAGAAGTGTGGCTATAGTGGAAGAGTGCCGAGGCAGGGTGCAAGGAATGGAGTTGGAGAAATTGCACTCTAACTTGTGTGCATGTCGTCTGCGGACATTCTCTGTCCTTCGTGTTCCGGTCTCCTGCGCTCTCCTGGCTTCTTTTGGGACTTCATGAACCACGGACACATCTGGCGAGGCTTACCAGTCCTTGTTCTCTGGTACAATTAGACTCCCATGGACATATACCAAATTCCCCCCCCCCCCCCCCCGTTTTTTTATCTTGCGGAGAAACAACCCCCAAATGGGTTTGCGCGTCGTACGTAAGGAACTCGGCTATCCAAATTGTTTGACTTTTTTTTTTCTTAGGAAGTGCATTGTATGACTCATTCCAAAGTTAGACCCAAACGAGCACTCATTCCATTCTCTTGTGCGACCCTGTTATTATAGTATCAGTATTACCGTAGGTGTTGCGTTGATTTGAAAAGTGGCCAGATGACACAATCTTTTAGGGTGAGCTTTTCACATTCAGGAGGTTATGAATTCAAATGCCTGTTGGTGGATCCATTCAGTCCATCGTCACCGCTGGTCATCTTACACGTTGACGAGCCCCCAACATAGGCGGGTTCAAATTAAATCACTGGACCAATTAAAATGTTTTTTAATGAGCACCACCTCGTGCTCGTTTGAACTAGAGGAAGCACCTTCGTAAAAATTCGATGAATTTTTTTAAATGGAAAAGAATGTTGCCGTAAAGTCAGCCCCGCGCCCCCTGGCCCCGGCCAATGCTGGAGAATCCCGTCTTGTTGCTCCACTTCGCAGTAGCTCGGCCATCTTTCGCTCTCGGGTCGAGGAGGCCCCCGAACGGGGCAGCAGGGAGGGCATCGGTGGCGGCAGTGGTGGCACCGTGCCCGCCGTCACCGTGACGGTCCCGCCCACGGTGTCGGGAGGCTCGGCCCCGTCCCTGGAGTGCGGGGCGGCCCTGTCCGGGGAGAACAGAGAGCGACGCAGGTGTGTGTGCTTGCGTGAGTGTACGTGTAAGCGAGTGCGTGCGTGAGTGTGTGTGACTGAGTGGGTGCAAGGGGGCGCTTGAAGGTGGAATTTAGCAAAACCGCTGTATTTGTAGATGGGCAAAAATTTTTGAGAAAGCGTTCACCCTTCGCTTCTCAGTCGGATAAGTTCCCAAAATAGAGAACGTGGATCGCCATTAACTCTCACGGAGATGGAGTCCATAACGGTCACCGTTCACTTTCATTGGGACTGGTTTTGGTAATCAAATTTGTGTGTCTATTAATCTGTTTGTGCTTCACAATTCTAATAACACTAACCGTAACACTAACCATTGGGTTCTTTGCAGAAAATTTATACTTTATAAAAACTTATTTGAAATGTGGACTTTACTGAAGGCTGTTATTCATAGCAATGAAAGTTAATTGAGATATTTTTTGGAAAAGTAAAAATGTCGCGGTTGTGCTAAGTTGTTGCCTTGCTGTGACCCCCTGCACTCGTTTAACCTGAGAACAACTCACCCATCCCACCTGCCATTCCCTTCCTGCCTCACCATACCCACCCATTTACCATGAAGCTGCAATCTAGACCAGAGGTGTTTATCCTGTGGCCAGCGGCCATTTGTGTAAACTGAAGGTGTATTTCCCCCCTGCCCCCCCCCCCCCATCGGTGTTGGTATACGCATGGATGAGTGTTGACGTGTAGCGTATTCTCCTATCCATGTCTTTTCTTCATGGGACCTGCTCAGCCTTCATGCATTCAGCCACATACCGACTCCCAGTCATTAATTCATTCATTCTTCTGAGTGTACCACTCGTAATAAAGAGCTTTTATTGTAGGATTATAGCTGCTACATTTTTCACATCTAACCACAAAATTCGACAGGTTCACGGTTACATTGATTTTTTTTTATCAGTTACCCTTATTCTCGGTAAATCTTTCTAAGTATCAATTGCTAAATTAGAAACACAATTCTATTTATGGCCATTTCCTTTGAGTAGTTCGTTTGAGCGTTATAAGTCCGTTAGCCTTACAACTTTATTGTCCCAATCTTAAGTCTGCCACTACAAGGGGGTCACAACAGAATTGTCGGTGTATGGTTCAACACACTTCGAGTGCTCCCCCTCTTGGTGAATTGCCTAAAAGGACCTACTTTGTTGTTTCATAACTAGTTTGTATATCTTTAAGTGACCTTTCACCACTCCTGGGTGACCACTCCCATACAACTATAGGGGGGCCACATTGTCCATACATTAAAGTTGAATTCTGTACATATGGTGTGACATGGATTTGGCAGACCTGTTACTTGCCAAAACCGATTCATCTGGGTGCTAAGCCTGATTGTGAGGCCTGTAGGACTTGAAGCGTTTTTTTTTAAATATTCCAGGCTGGCAGTTAATATCATGAACCAATGTGAGTTGATCTGACCTGGCCCCATGGAACTGCTTAAGGCAATTCTGATTCCCCCAAAATGCAAAATACTCATGAAGGCATTGGCAGACTACTCGAGTGTAGATTCCTTATTAAAAACATATTGGAAGTAAGGCTTTTTTAGATACAGTTATGGAATAAACTAGGTATTGTCGGAGTGGGCCAAACTTGCAACGAAGCAACTATAAAATACGTTTCTGGCCTTTAAGTAAAGATGGCCAAGCAGATGTGTACACTCTGTAAGAGCAGATTTTGCAGGTTTTGCGTTGATCCTGCCATATTCGCGGAGTCTCCCAGAAGGAACGAAGCGATCGTAAGGTGTGGTTGCGTCAGCAACATTTGCCGTGATGACCTCTGGACATTAATCTTTGAATGGAAAGCCCCACTTAAGTCCATCGTTCTTCGTGGACATCACTGATGACACCTAGTCAAACTCCCTCTGGTTTGCCTTCACTTGTGTTCCAGTCAAGAGTCTGTGCCTGTTATTAACGATGTCCACTTCCCTAGAGTCCTTAACAAGTGGACATGTGTAGAATATGCTCCCTCATGTAAATGCAGCTATAGAAATATTCTTCAGTGGTTTTCTGATAGGTCTTAAAAACAGCGCTTAACTTCCCTCACTTTGGTTTTGTACTTAATTTGGCGAAATTACAGCTCTGCTAAATAAGTATATTTGTTTGACTGCAATGCAATGCACATTTTTCATTGTAGCAGGGTGATGTTCTACTCACCGAGAGTTACAAAGTTATTCAAAATCTTAATGCATGATGACAATAGGGGAAAATACACTTAAAATCATTTATTTAGTCTGTAATTCAATACAAATGTAATCCAATAATAAATAACTCGAATATTTTTGGTACATGCCTAGGAATTGCCAACATTATTCTAAGGCTTAATTTGTAACTTGGAAATCAAGTCAAGCTCTGTAGTGATGTCACTGCATTTACGCAAATAAGTTTTACACAAGTGACTTCAGAGTTAACACGACTAGCGCTCCAAAATGGCTCCATTCAATTGAACTTCTTGGTCTTCTTTCTTCTGTATACGTGTCACTTTTGATGTCGGATTTTTTTCCTGAGCTGATGCACCACGGATCTCCCTTAGAAACTAGCTGGGTGACTGTATTTTACGGGATTTTCCATGTAACAAATCATTGAATTTGATTATTTCTCATTGATGAAACTTTAAAGCCGTGTTGGACAACTCGGTGACCCACAGCCTCAGTATGTCTCTTCAGTAAGAGAAAGCTCTTGTGTTTTTTGGTTCGCGTCTTACCTGAATCATGAGAGGTGCAAATTATATTGTGTCGAATATCCCATTGATGCTCCTGTATTTGAGACTTGAAGGATAACGGGATCGCTGGCCAAAACGATTTTGACACCTCTGGCCTAGATTTGCCGCCGGTTTTCCGTGTTACGGTCGTAATGGTTGCTGCTTGTGTCGCCTTGTTTGTCGGGCGAGCCAGTTTGTGCTTGTTGTGGATTGTGTTTCTTGCGCTTGGCATTAAATGTGCGTGTTGCGTCCCCCCCCCCTTGAGTGAACCCTCTACCCTGTTAATTATGATTTTTTTTTCCCTTCTAAAAAAAGAAACGTTTTATATTTAAATGAGCATCTTGCAGTCACCAGAATGTAAGCGTGAAATGTGTTGGGTTATTCTTGATCATCAGTTTCCCTTGGTTAGGGGGGGGAGGGGGGTTTCTTGAGCCGTTGGAGAAACCAAATAAGGTGGCGTTGGCAGGAGCCTGAGCTGCTGGTAACAACTCCACTGCGGTGTTCTACAGCCCGCTCAACAGATTCGTTGTATAGCATTGGCTGGAGTTGGCTTTCCAGGAGCCTCTAACCGCAATAAATGCCACTATATTTGGTTTGTTCTCTGCGAGAAAAATCTCTGCCGTAAACTAATACCAGCATTTAAGGGTGCGACGGACTCGACAGTCCATTATTGTGGCGTTAGATAATGACAACAATTGCCGTTTGAGTGGTTAAACATCTTAATTTGTCACGTTCGGGATTTTTTTTTTCTAATTGCACAGAGCATTGATAATCTGTTTATTTTCAAACATGTTTGGCTTTAAGTCTGCAATTATTTTGATTATCTCCTTTGAGATCCCCTAATCCTTTTAAGACATTCCGCATTCTCAAAACACGTAACTTTATGCTAATTGCTACTTTCGATAAACGGGGTACGGTACTACGGTTGAGCGACCACAAGGCTCGAGCGATCGAAGTCTCTGGTTCAGGGCCTCCCTTCGGCCACCCCTAACCCCTCTCGGCTTACTTACGAAGATACACAGAGCGAGCGTGCAATATCGGTCGCAGGTCATACCTCACGCCTGTACGTGACGAGGAGTCGGAGTCGCAGAGGAAGGCCAGGTCCAGGCAGGCCCGGCAAACGCGTAGGTCGACCCAGGTGAGACATTGCGTGAGTGATGAATGTTCCCTCGTCCTGGCTGGCATCCATAGGACCGTGTGCAATGGCATCCAATTGTTTGTCCACAGGGAAGGGCAAGCGAAAGTCACTTACCCCATCATGGGTGTTGATGTACGTTGATGGAAATTTTGCCCACGACAAAGTCTGTTGAGCCTACAGTACTATCGATTTCATAATTCACTTTAATTACGTTCTCTCGGTGGCATCACTATTGTGTACATTTTTTATGTAGTGTATGGTTGTGGCAGTTCTTCACTTCCTAAAATCTTTGGATTTGCGCACTGTTAACTTTTATAGATGCTTGATATTATTGCAACCGACAAGTCCTTTCATAGGGAGCTATCGGAGTGACCACTGGTTACTTTTATGCTGGTAGTATATGAGAAAAAATCCCTACAACTACCGTCATTGAGGCCTAATAAAGCAATATCTTTATTATGGTATTCTATTTTGCTTGTATAAAGAGTCTGACCGTGGCGGTTCGTGTTTATGAAAGTAACAGTCGTACTGATTGGCAGCCCTGAACAACTGATGAACATTCCACATTCCTAAGTTAGAAGCCAGTTTCTACCATAGTCCAATATTAAAAAAGTGATTCACTATTGAGGTAACTTAATTTCAATTGAATCATATGGCTATCAATTACAACAAATGTACAATAGTGGTAAGTCTTAACAGTATGAAAGTGAATGGAAATTGGTTAAAGTACCAAAACAATCTAATGATTTTGCAAAAACATTCCTGCCAGACCACTGAGCTTAATCTCTTTGTGTCACTTCAGATGTTGTCATCTTGAAAACAAAATCTCCACTCATTGTTCTTGTAAAGAGACGAACCATGTTTATTTCTATTTATTTGTCGGACGTAAAAAAATGCCCTGGAATTTACTTGCCAGAAATAAAAAATTGGGTCCATTTTTAAAGTGTTTCCTTTGCTCAAATATGAGCACGAGCTGGCTCTCACCTGCAATGGAGAGACCCTGAGCTAGCTACGGAATTCTACATCACTGTGATGTGGTCAATATCTCTCTGTGGCATTGCCTAGTGGAACACCGTTTCGCTTGATAGTTTTGCAAAATGAACAGAAGCGTTTGCACGGTACCGTGGACAGGAGAAGAATGCGTTGGCATGCGTAATTATTACCACGTGGTGAATGCAGCCAGTCTCTCCAATCCTGCAGTCCTCCAACATGGTGATGGTGGAAGTGCCACCCATGTAGCTGCTTGTAGGCAGCTCAGGAAAAAAAAGCCCCATGTGGTAAATAAACTCGGCTGTGATGTCAGCCGGTGATAAATTTAGCTGTTAACTTTTGTCAGTGCTGCTTAAAGAGGGCAAACGTTGCCCCCCAGCTGCCTTGCTTGGTATCGCAATCTCTCTCCAAACTATTTGCCTGTTTTGGTGTCCAGGAGACTCACGGGGCTCATGACAAGAGTGCCAGAGTACCAAGTCCAGGATACTGACACTGGTCAGAGGGCTTGACTCGCAATCAGTGTGTTCAGTCGGGACACAACTCAGTCTGCCACCTGTTTTGGATTGATACAATGAGTCACATTTGCTGAAAAATCAGCAGTGGTTGTGATCATACAGGTAATAGCCGCCATTATAGATATCTGGCATATCCGCTGTTGATTCGGTGAAACCAGCAGAGATGAATACCACTCCATTGTTTGCGTGAGCTCATAAATACATTGGCTTTGATTTGAAAAATTGTTTCGGTTGAGTTTTTTGTAAATTAATCCATGGTGTAGCATTGGTGATTGAGACGCCCTGCAGACGAGACTCGGAGAAGATGAAACCGTATAAAGTTAGCTTTTAATACAATTCTACTGCAATGCATTTACCCATAATGCTCGGTTAATGCCATTTCAATTCGATGATGAAACCAAATACTCGTGTTTATTTAAATTTTCATTTACCACCCATGGCAGCGAAGCAACAAATTATTTTTTTCCCCCCTTTGTGTCTTTTCTCCCTCTCCCACGCCGTCGGGCAGGGCGTCACCCTGACGGACCTACACGAGGCTGAGAAGATCCGGCGCTATGGCTCGGACAAGCGCGGGGGCCGCGAGCAGCCTGAGGAGAAGGAGTCCGCGGAGCGACTCGACGACAAGAAGGACACGGAGTCGCGGGAGGCGTCGGACGCGCGGGGGCGGCCCTCTCGCACCTACGGCAGCGACGTGAGCTGGGCACTCCCCCCCCGCCCCATACCGCTCTGCACTGAATCCCCGCATCACCTTGCCATTGCCCCACTCCGTCGACGAATGGCGTCATCTGCAATTCCTTGGTGCTCTGGCGCCCTACCACACAATTCCTGTGTTTTCACCATCATAATCATTCATAATAACGTAATGCTACAATAATGCTCAAATTAACAGAGCATTGAATGCCAAACCAAGACCGAACAACAGTACTGCTGAAAGTGATCAGATTATCAAAACAATTAAAATAGCATATATCTCGGGAGTTACTGAGAAATTAGCCCACGTTTTGCAAAAGCAAAACATTAAAGTGAGATTTGGTACGGTACACAAAATAAAAAAAAACTACTGTCTTGTACTAAAGATGAATTACTGAAGTTATCAACAGAAGGTGTATATCGGATCAATTGCTTATGCAGTAAATGCTATATTGGACAGACGGGACGTAACATGAGCTTCAGAAGACGGGACGTAACAGGAGCATAAGACTAAAAGAAACACCAAAGGGATATTAAATTATCTCAAACACAACTGTCAATTGATTTTGATAACATTGAAGTGTTATGCAAAACTAATTATTACTGGTCAAGACTAATTCGAGAATCAATCGAAATTGAGAAGAATAAAAATAATTCCAACCGCTGTCATAGCTACAGACTCAGCGCAGCCTGGAAGTGTATTATTAAGTAATACACAATACATTGTAATTCCTTATAGAGGAATCACATGCTAAGTGGCTGATTGCTGAACTATTACATATTTGCAATACCCCCCCGCACCTCCGCCTCTGATCTCAACCTGATGGGGTTCAACAATGAAGACGTCATCCTACACTATTTAAAACCGGAAGCAGGTGGATGGCTTCACTATTCTGGCAAATTGCCCGAAGATGCTGGATGTAATTACCAGCGAAACGTCGTACTCAAATTCTAAAAGTTGTGGATTCACTCGTCAAACACACAGGTGGGCTGAAGTAACTAATTGGCGTTTTGTTAACGTGACACATTTTTGACCGATTGGCCGTGTCCGGCGGTGGAGGGTTGCGACACATAATAACGCGATCTAACCCAAAAACCTTTATTATGAATAATACTGGTCGTGAAAGCCCACATATTAAACTTCTCACCATCACCACCCTGTGAATCCACTTGGCCCTTTGGTGCCCTACCATACCACACAATGGCCCCTCTATATTGGCCTATGCCATTCAGTGTGTTGTCCTACCAGCCTCATGTCAGTCACCTAATGCTGCATAATCAGTGCTGCCCCATAACAGTTTCTGTTGTCCCATACCATCCATGTGCCTCCCTATGCCACCCTACATCACTTGGCGCCACTCCCCCACATTGCCTTGCACTAACGCTGTGCCACAAATGTCACTTATGCTCACTTGAATGAACAAACGTTGCAGAAAACTGTTAAATGTTCTATTTCTTAATCAACCATCGAGGGCAGCAGATGGCAGTGCGGCAAAATCCATGCTTCTACCATGCTTCTATGCTCACACATCTATGCTCCCCACCTTCCACAACCAACACTGACCAGTGTAGTGAAGTATGGTCCAATAAACCCCATGACCCACGGAGGGTGGGGAGGGCTTCATCCAGCACAAATTAACATAAGGGCTGCACATGTACAAGCACATTACATTTTATGGCCTTTCACTTTAATAGTGCTGTATTAAACCAGCCACCATTCAAAATGGTATGCATTTAATCGAGCCTTTGGGGGGATGATGGGTTAAATTGCCGTGGCAGAAATGTGGATAACTTGTTTTAATTATGTGTAATGTTTAAAAAATTATACCTTTAGTGTCAATGTTTTCATTTTTTTGCTGTCGCCATATTTATGCTGTGTTCATGGGGTTGTAGTTGGTTGGAATATAATTGGCAGACCAATGAACATAATCTTGAGTGGTGCTGCAGTGCTCAACGATCAGAAAAACATCCACAATTTCAAATTCCAGTTTGGGGATCGACTCTGCTCATCATTCTTCCGTGATTGGCAACATCAGTATCATATGGTTGTAAGTTCACAGTGGCCATCCAATAAGAATTGTAGAATGTGGATTTCCACCGTTGCCTTCAGGCCGCTGACAGAGATGAGCGCCACCCCTCGCTCATTTGAGCTGGAATACGCCGCGGCTTAACCCAAACGAAACCCGAAATCTGTGCGCAGTTCATCTCGACCATCGACTCGCGTTATTTTTTTCTCCCTACCTTCCTCCCCTTTTGCCTCGTCAGACCCAGGACGGTGCCTACCAGAGGTTGCGCCCTTCGGCGTCGCTGGCGCCGGCGGTCGGGGGGTCACCGGCGGGGAGGGCGGGCGGCGGAGGGAGCACGGGGTCGGGTCTCGGCGGCGGTGGCTCGACCCGTGTGCCCACGGTCACCGTCGTGGAGCCAGAGAGGGGTATGGTGGCACCGCGGCAGGGGGGGGGCACCGTATTTGCTATGCATTGCACACTTCCGATTCGCACGGTTGCCTACGTACGGTGCGAAATAAGTTCTGCATAACACATGCGTGCGGTTGAATGTCATTGTTTCGCGTGTTGCGCAGCAGTAGTCTTATTGCGTTGTACGTATTGATATATTTTGAGTGGAGTGGTGGTACAATGGTTAGCGCGCTGCGCTTTGAAACCAGCAACCCGAGTTCGATTCTTGGCCATGGCTAAGATCAGTTGGCGAGTGATGTCAGAACCAGTCCTGCACCCCCTCCTCCCCCAGTACAGATGTATAGAAAACATGTTGAGCATCTGTCTTGTATGGTACGTGTGTTCCTATTAAAATTATATCATATCTATCTGAGGGGGATGTGGTGGTTCGAGTCTCCGGCTCGCAATCGTGATTTGGGTTAAAATAATCCCTTCAGTCCTCTGGGATCAATAAAATAAGTCGTGCTTGGAGGGAAGTCAAAAATGGTACCCCTGTGAATAAACTTGCCCCCACCACAGCAATGTGGAATTTATGCTGCTGGCAATCGGTTTCTGAACTTGAGATAAGTGCCTCCCCGAGTTATTTTGATTGTGGAAATTGCTGTGAATTCGCTTGTGAAAATATTTTACGAAAGGGTGGGTCCTTGCTCATGCAGTCAAGGTTTCTGTCCGCAAAAGGAAGCCTCCTTGGCGTTTCTTCGCGTTTGTTAAGAGTCACTGCCCCTATTGCTTCCCCAAGTAGTGACATCGGACGGTTTCACAGTTCCGCTGCCTTGTCACTGTGGAATTGCGAGTGACCGCGCGGTTGCTGCTGTGCTGCAGGCGATTCGGGCGAGGAGGACAGCCAGACGGAGGGAGACAAGGGCAAGAACAAGTTGTCGGTGGTGCGGGATCGGCGCCGCCCACGGGAGAAACGCAGGTCCACCGGCGTGTCCTTCATGAGCCCCGACGTGAGTGTGTGCGACAACCTGATGCCTCTCTCTGTCTCGCTCGCTCGCTCTCTCTCTAAATCACTCGCTCACAAACAAATCGCCCACTTACTCGTCGCTCACTCGCTCGCAAATCGGTCATTCACTCGCACCGGTCGCTCGCTAACAAATCGCTCACTCGCATCACCAGCTGACTATTCACTTACTCATTGGCTCAGTAACTAATATGTCTATGTACCATGGATAAGCCTTTATTAGAGGAACCAACCAGCTTAGGGGCTCTCCCTGGTCACCTCCACAGTGGCCCTCTTCTCGGCGTTGTCCCGAAGAGCTTACAATGTGCCATTAGTGCGCATTTGTGGTGGAGATTGCCGCTGCTCATGTCCAGCCTCCTGTTGCGTGGGACTACCTCGCATTGAGCGTTCACACTGCTGACTAACTCCCCCTGTGCAAGTACAGAGTTGACACCTTCCTATTCCCCTCTGCCGAAGACTCAGTAACTTTTAAAATCCAGTCTATTCCTTGTCATTGTCGCTTAGCAAACTAGTCTTCCCTTTGCCAATCCATACCTGCTCTCATAAAATACCCATTTTCTTTGTACAACAAAAAATAATAATGAATTCTCCCCTTTCACAAATATCGCCCACCTTCTAAGGCCTCTCGATACGCATTCTCCCTTGATTTTAGATGCGCTTACATCGGTATGCGTATAAATCCACATTGTATTGCATTTATCACGATAGACCAGGGGGTATGAGTCATGCGTTGGCAGGAGGAAGGCAGCCCCTGTCACTGCATTGGATAGAGAAATGGGAAAATCGCCACCCGTTTTGTGCCAATTCAGTTGGCTGCTTTTAAATGCCGCAATGCACTTGGATGAATCAACGTCCAGTTTATGCAAGGCTTCTTGGGAAGTGGTAATCCCATAATCATGAAACAAAGGTTGCAGTATGAATCGAACTGAAGAAATTTACTATGAAACGTGTCTTTAATTTAGAAAAGCATCTTCTTTAACGACACATATATATTCTTTGGGTCTTCCAGTAAAGCCACGTAGATAGAAAAGTAATAAAAAAATAAAAATATCACGTTTGGATGGCAACACAGGCAATCGTGGGAGAGCTGCTGAGGCAGGACATTTACTTATTTTTATTTTTCTATCTACATGGCTTTACCGAAAGACCCAAAGAATATTAATTTCTGCAGTCACGAAAGCTTTAAGTCAAGATTTAATGACGCATATATATGAAATTAAAGTGAACAGTAGCTGGTTGAAATTAAAAGTTACTGGAGATATGATTGTTCATTATTTGCTAAGGTTCTTTAACACATGAGCAATATAACTCTTAAGAAAATTGGCCAATAATGCCTCTGCCGATTCTTATCATTATTTTAAGAAATAATTGTCCTGTCCGCATGGATTTTGTGCGACTAAATGATTAAATTCATAAGCTGCAAGTTGCGTTTCCTTATTTGGATAAATGCTATTGGGAAACATTGGTCCAAGAGACCCATGAACTTATGGGGTAAATATAACTATGCTTTGATCGTTTAACGGCACTTGGATTACATGCGTTGTCCGCTTGTTTAGATTTTTATTTTATTCAAATCATCATGCGACTATCCAAACTAATATGATGACGGTTTTAAATTATATATCATGCGCCTGTTAAAAAAGGGATTTCATTTGTACTTATGCATGCATTGAAACATATCCCATGTATTTTCTAGAAGTTGCAAATGCATAGCATTTTGTCTGCTAGAATCTTTGAAGGTGGTTCTTCTTGGGCGAGCTTTTTTGCCCATCCAAGGACAGGTGTATATTGCAGTAAATCTGAATTATTAAATCGAAAATTGTTCAGCTCATGATTATTAATGAGGGGGGGGGTTGCCCCATGTGGAGTGACGTCACCCGCCAATGGTTATTGTGGAGGGGTGCAGCATGTGGAGTGACGTCACCCGCTCATGATTATTAATGAGGGGAGGGGTGCGGAATGTGGAGTGCGCGACCTTCTTGTGCGTTCGTGTAAATTTCCACGCGGGCGTGAATATCAATGAAGGGGGGGGGGCTCTTTTGCAGTGACGTCACGTGCGGGACGGACAGACATTCCTGGGTGATTATAGTAGGAAATAATAGAGAACAGATAACTGCTATAATTGGAACCCACGAGCCTCTTTTTTAGCAGCTGTTTGGCCATGAGAACAGAGAAGCTGGGTCTAGTGGCCGCATTGCTGTCAGGGTAATTTGTGCATAACAATAAGAGAAGGTCCAGGAGCATTGTAACATGGACTGGGAAATAATAGGCACAGCTTCTCTGAGCAACTTCAAACTTTTTTGTTTCAATCAAATCAATCTGAAAGGGTAATAGAAGTTAGAAGGGTCTTTGATGACCATTTCAAACAACTGTTTGCTGGTGTCACTCGCCATCATACGGAGAGGCAATTAAACATGAAATGCCTGGCTTTGAGTGACGGATCGAGCTGTGCTCATATCTGTTAGCGACCCTGCTCCACGATGGCACGAGGGAACGTTCCACATTTGCATGGTGGAGGTCAGTTTCTTCCTCACAGCAACCGCTGTTAACGTCCCACAAAATTGTACTTTTTCGATCCTGGAGATGTGATGGCCTGCGTTGACCCTTGACTGGGATCTGAACCCGCAGCCTTTCAATTGTTGTAAAGTGCTACGAGTACAGTGCCAGCCAGCCGCATAACAAAAAAAATAACAAGCATAAAGAACATTTAAATTGTTACAAGGGAATGTGCATGCAGTTTAGCAGACTTTTGTAATCATGTAAACCCCTTTCACATAAGGCTGCCCTTTGTTAGTGGTAAACAAGCTGCAGCCAGTTATGTAAACTTGTTAAAGAGTATATTGTACACATCCCGTGGTAAGAATTGAATTAATGAGGTGACCCAGTGGCTTGTTCTGTTCAAAATTGCTGTGTCAGTGCTACTGTGCCAGTTCTCTGGGACCCACTGGCTCAAATTCAGGCAACGGCAAATGATTTAACCAGAGATCCCCCTAACCCCCAAAATGTAGGGTAGTATGATATTCGAAGGGCTTTCTCATAATCTTTAGAGTTGGTCGACTCCATGATGCAAGATGACCATGCAAATATAGTTCTTGTCCGCACCGGTACCAAAACTGCATCATTGTAATAGTAATCATTTTATTCATATAGCACTTGTAAGCATTCAGAAGCATCTCGAGATGTTGTACAAGGAAATCATGAATACATAACCAGGAATATAAATTATTAAACAATCAAGCAGATTGAGCGGCATTGTGCGACACACCGTGGCACAAGCCGCGTTACCACCACCGTATCTCCACGCAGACGGGGGGTGGGGAGGAATTATAACTTGACGTGGAATGACTTCAGCAACAACACTGATGATCGTGATCAATGCAACGCAGGGAAAAACATGGATAGTGATCGATATGGCGATGGAAGTGCAGCTTGTTGCTAAAAATTTAAGGAGAACATCAGGAAGTAACCATTCAGTAACTAGTCATTGTACTATACTGTTTTGGTCATTCTGGTTCCAATGGAATTGCACTTGCCCATATGTTTTTTTTATCCAGTTCGTTTGGCCACTTTTTTTAATCCAATTAGTAGCTTGTGTACTCGCATACATACGCTTTTAAAAATGCGTCATCAGTCATGACCTGTCCACTGTGGATGAAGGCCTCGCCATGCTGTCGCCTCTCCTCAATCGTCACCTGACACAAAATTCGGTGATTTCTGTGGAAACGAGCTGATCTCATCACTCCCCATCTCCACGGTGCTAACATCCTGTTGGACTTGTTGCTTCGTTCGGCTGCCACTCGGCCGTTAGTTTGATCGCCCGGCGTCACGCCTGCCGTTTACTTACGTCGTTCAAAATGTGTTAATTTGCTCAGACACCAAGTGGCATTTGCTCGATTGCTTTGGTCATGCCCAGGCACATGCCGTCTCGTTCCAGCATCGGGTTTTTTGTCCCATGGTGACATGCCTCCCTCTGCTGGGCACGCTCTGTACTGATGGGCGCAAGTTGCCCATCTCCTTGTAAATCACGTTGCGCCGTGCCGAGCGAGCGTTAAGCCCACGCAGTGATTTAATGTGAACGCTTCTCTTAGATTGCCTCTGCAATGAATGCGCTCCATTATCGCGGCGCTAATTTGAACGTAATTGTCTTTCGTGATTGTTTTAACCTTTTCGAGCCGCTCGGCACGTTGAACGGCACATTTTCGCGTCGGAAAAGCCAAAGTCAGTGATGCACACCATTCTCTTTTGGACGTTCTGAGGCAGCCAGCTCTGATGCTGTTGAAGTGGTGGAAGTTCCACGTTCTTGTGACTGGGCCATAGTTGATTTTAGATTCGCTCTGTTGACCAAGTGCTATTCACTTTTTTGACAATAGAGGGATGATATTCTGAGTTTACCCTGAACCGGCATTTAAACTCCTGGTAATTGTTGGTTGAGAATGTGCCATTATGCTACCCAGCAAGATTATTGCAAGATGTGTATCTTTGTAATTTTTCGTTCTTAGAGGAATTAGAGATGTTTGAAAATGTGGTCTCGGTGACCTTCAGAAGTCTACTGAAGAGTGACATTCACTGTTTGAAATCGTTTTTTTAAAATAAAAGTGTACGCATAAACATTAAAATTTAAAGGTGACGGCAATTCCCTCTGAGACCCCTGGCATCGCAATTTTAAACCAATTGGTGAATTAATATTTAGTTTTCATGATCAGTGTTGTCTGCATTGTAGCAAAAATATGGTGTTGATTTTACTGTCTCCTGAAAAGATGATAATGCAGATAGGCCTATTTATTTATTGTGTTTGTTGTCTGCATGTGTGCATCTGTGTCTCATTCTCTCTCTATCTGTGTGTGGGCTTTTACTTCAGTCTCAGAGCGACGAAAATGACCACGATCTGTCGGATGAAGAAGAAGAGAGTGAAGAGGTGGAAAAGGAAGTGAAAGAGGTGCGTCCAAAGGTGCTAGCACGTTCCCCTGAGCACACTCCACACTCATTATTCCTCTACTTGCGTTGCTCCAACAACAGGGAGCTACAGGCATAAAATGTCACCTGCCACAGTTCCTGCCGATCTCTTCAAAGTGCGGCTGCTGTTGCGCCTACCACAGTGATGATACTTCGTTTTATCAGCACCGGAGATATGATATGCTAAGTTGTCCTCTGACCAGATCTTAACATTCTATTTTGTAACTATGCTTGTGTAACCAAGATATGGACTGTACAATATCTATACCGTCATAGGATGCCCATGAAATCGAGGCTAGCACCTTATTGGGACCTTCCTGCTGAAATAAATGCAATCTATCTTTGGGGATTGAGTTATCACTTGGAAGGCCTCGCAAGCACCAGGTGCAAAGGTCTGCCACTCGGACATCACGAGCAACTGCAACCATTTGACTTGTCAAATCTCAAGTGATTCATTGAGATACGTCTGAGTTAAGTACGTAATTGCCTCTGCACGTGGTTCAAGCTCGAGTGCCAGCGTACCCATTTAAAAGTCTGGCACTCAAGAGGCCCCAATAATTAACTTTAGCCTTGCCAATAATCCAATTTGTTAAGGTGAAAGAGCCTATCGCGAGACGTTCATGTATTTTGTGTCGGCGCGAGCGCCAGACTGGATCTTGCATCCCACATTCAAACAGGGGTGTAAACTTTTAATGTCTGGGATTGCCACCGCTGCTGGTGTTTACGCCCGGTAGCAGAGTCTATTGTCTTGTTTATGAAGCCAAGTCTGAAATTACTTTCACGGTTTAAATGAAACGGGCACAAAGCCTACTCCTCTGCCCTCCCCACCCCTCGGCATTAAATGGACCGTGCTTCTCAGCGTGCAGTCTTTAAGCGATGCATGAAAGGCACATCCCTGTGTGGGTGTCGGATGCAAAGCCCAGTCTGGCATGATGACACAAGGAACCAGGATCGTCCTTGCAAAAGAGGCAGTGTTGTTTCATTAGTCTCAATGGGTTTTTCGTTGTTCATCTCGTGGTGAAGTCAAGGGTGCGCGCGTACGTACGTTACTGTGTTTATAGGGGTGGTGGTAGCGTGCCATTTCTGTAAGATTGGCGAGTGAGCGGGCACAGTGCGCAAATGGCTCATGCCATGGCACCAAACTCAATGCGTGGGGCGAGCTCACGTGCATTACTCTGCTGCAGTGTAAAGGTTACCAATATGCAAGGTGACTGAATGAGTTGCCCAGCGATACTTAACCTCGGATCATTTCACTCGTCAAAGCCATCCTGTACAAATTTTTAAGTAGTTTTCAAAATGTTTCAATGCTCAAATGAAGTTGGAACGGTCTTCCTATTTGTTTCTGGCCCTCAGCCAGTGGTCAAAATGCTATCTGCCTATAGTTGGGGGGAAAATCTCTCTGTTGAACGACCACTGTTGACTTACAAGTAGTAATCTTGATTTGAAGCTTTCGTGACTGCAGGAATCCATACTCTTTGTTTTTTTCGGGAAAGCCACGTAGGTATAAAATAATATACAAGTTACAATGTACAAGTAGTACTCATTTTTCAACCCCAAAGCGATGATAATTGACCATCTGAAGATAATTTTAACTTACAAACGTACCATTTGTGGGTTGCGTGCTCTAATTATTGTTCCACGGGTCCAGATATATTGCTTAATCCAACTAATTGTAATTGACCTGCGGTTGGTCAGAAAAAGCTTCAATCGGGTCTCAAGATTATTTGCGGAGTGACCATGCTTGAGATGTTTATTCAGTTCCTCGTGAGACGAAACTGGAAGAAAAATAACCTGCACATGAATGGCTAACTCTCAAAAATCCGCATGCTCACAGATGGGCCTGGTTTGTGTCATGATTAGTACTCACAATCTGAAGGTTTTGAGTTCACATCTTTTCAGCAGAGGTGATCATTTCCCTGCGGGTCAACAGAGGGGGGTGGTGGGGAACTCGTTGTGAGAGGTTGACAGTGATCATCCTGTGGATAGATTGGCCCCTGTCGTAACAATGTGAACGTTTTCACAAACATCTTAAATTGGTTTCGAGTTGAACACCTCCGCAGTGCTATTCTATGCATCGAGAATTGTTGAATAGACAGATCGGCTGCCTACTTGTACTTCCGTCAACTTCCCATCCTGTTGGGAATCCTCCAGAGGCAGTTGTCATTAACATACAAACCACTGCTTACCAGATCATGACATTTACACCCAGTTCATTTCATATAATCGCTTGCATTTTGTATTGACTTTGATGACAGATGTGACGTATTTATTTTCTGTAATTTTAGAGGGAATGGTGTAGCTGTTTTGCGCAAGTCTCTGAGCGCAGTGCCCAAATGAGCTCCGTGGACTGAGTAAAATTCCTGGCCACGGCTAACATCATTGGCGAGTGATATCTCAAAACCAGTCTGGGAACTCCCTTCACCCAACCTGTACTGACCAGTTCCGTGAAGTATGGTAAAAAAAAAATGCCGGTGACCGACGGTTGGTTACGTGCGGCGTGAAAGAAGTTCAACATACGTACGCACATGGCATTGGACTGCCTTCAGCAATGGATTGACCAAGGGGCTGTGAATGATTATTTTTTATTTTTAGCAAAAAGGATTTGCACTGTCCCACTATGGTTTGATGTAAAGTTAACCCAGATGTGTGACGACACTGCCTCAGATTTACTGCCATATTTGGTCTTTTTGCCCAGCACTCCTGTTTGGTCGGAGATTTTCGTCTTAATTATATTTCATGTTATTTAAAGACATGCGCAATGTGTACCAATGCCGTTCCCATGATTGGGCATTATTATCATAGTGGTCGTTGACGGTGAGCGGCATTATCTTTCTGTATAATTCCATCTTCCAAAATCTCTGCCAGGTTTCAGCTGTGTCGCAGGTTCGTTAGCTAGAACCTCGGTGCTGGGGAGTTTCCAGTTTTTTTTCAGCAGTGTGTTAGGCACGAAGACTGGACACCCCGGAGCCTTAAGATTAGTTTAAAAAAAATTCAGTGGCATGACCGTTATAGGGCATGAGACTATACACTGGTGGAGCAGTTGTCAGGAGGAAGCGAGTGTGTGGGTAATAGACGACTCTGTGTGTGTTGGTTATGAATGTGCGTGTAATGTAGGCAGTTTTGAGAAGTAGGTCAAGAGATGCCTTGCTTTAGGAGGGCAGGTTTTTTTGATGACGATATAAAAACGCTTGGGAGGAATAAAATCATAATTTAAGTATAAAGATAGCGGTGCCTGGGTCCGGGAGTATTATCTGCATTATTGTATTGGTCAAAGAGTTAGACTGATAAAACAACTACAAAGGACTCTTTTGGTCTTTTACGTATACGTGCATGCAGAGATTGCTAGAAATTCAATGCAGGATAGGATTCAAAATGGTACGTGGTAGGAATTGTAGATTTAGTGAGGGAAAGTTGGTTGCCATCGATGAGATGTGTGTGCAGCATGCAAGAGCAAAGGCTAAAGAGACGGGCATTGGTGTGGGCATTCAGAGGGTGGCACATATGGGGCTAAACTTATAGTTAGATGGTGGCATACTGTAGATGTGTACCTTATAGCTCAAGCAGTTGTGATCTTCATCAGTTGTGGGATCTGGTTGAAGGACTTAATGGCAAGATGTAATGGCATTAGTGGCATTGTGTTTGATAACCTTTTGTTTTTACCTTGACCTATGCTTGTACGATGGTGAAGCATCATTGTAACGTATCACTGGTGATGATCGCGTATTCACGTTGGCATCCGATAGCTTTTAATGAAGTACCATGCGTAACCACATTTGTCTGCCTAGTGCTGATGTTTTGACTGCTAATTCTAAGTAATTGCATTGGAGACTTGGTACGTGCCGTACTGAGTTCAGCCCTGCCCTTGGGAGAGAATGATGCACAGGGTGCATTGTTTATATTCTACGATTCGGCCGTCCCAACAGCAGAAAAGGCTCTTGGTGCCTATCCTGTATAGAGGAGTGATCTCTTGCTGAGGCTGGGCAGGGTCTTGGGTCTCATTCAAGAGAACTCCATCCAAATGCAAATCCTGATGCTGCCGTTTCCTGATGCCTTGCATCCATTGATTGTTTATTTTTCCACGCACCAAGTATGCACCGATAACATTTTAAAAAAATACAACTTACTCTGAATCGTAGCATCTGTGCAACAGTTCCACGGACCACTCCCATGACCTTGCGTGTGTACCACCAGTGGTCCGTGAACCACGAGTTGAGAACTAATGTTTTAAGCGGAGTTGGTGATTCGAATCTCACTGCTGCCAGGTGGTCTTTGAGGAAAATTAGAAAAGTCTGTTGGATAGTGGACATAGAAACACAGCGATTGGAGATGGCAATAAAACATAATGTGACGATTTGCCAAAAGGACATTTAAAAGTGTCGGTGTCATTTAAAGACCGATTGTGAAACTTGCCTGCGATCAGTTCATAAAATTTTAGCCATAAGCCCCGTGGATATCACAGGAAGAAATTTTTAAGTAGAAACAGTACTATGTATTATATTTATCTATATTCTGAGTTTAATTAATTGGGAAGTAATTACCCAGGCCAAGAGGGATTACTGGAGGAGAGCCACTCCCATCGCTCATCTAGCCAATTTTGACATTTTTTTGCAAAACTGGTTTTACCCAACCAGTTTTGATGACCACATGGCCATGAGCTTAAATTTTAGATCAACTCATCCAGCCATTCCCTACATGGAGTGAGATCTCGCTGTACAAACATTTTGCAATGGTATTGTATTTGTTTTAAATATAAAAAGCTCTCCTGTAACTATAGTCAATTAATAAAACATCTCTATAGGCTCTTGCCTTGTTGACAATAATATTTAATGTATTTTTTGAGCTGCCTGTCACTTTGGGAACGTTATCGCACGTGAATAGCCACTTATATCCCTGCCCACCCAACAATGTTTCCAACTCGTGGCCATGCAGTTGTGAGATTTGGAAGACACGTGGTGTAACCGTGGTGAAGCTGTGACATTCAGATTGCTCACCCCGTAGAGCTTAGGAGTCTGCATGGCTCTGCAGGGCTTGGCAGGGTGAAATTAATACTTCTTAATGCAGTCACAAACCGGTTTTGCTGACCACATGGAGTTGTCAAGACGGCTCGGGCTATTTTCCATTCAGATCTTAAGTACGTGTGCAATTTGGCACAAAGTAACACAAAACAACGTAATATTCTCTGTGTGTAGCGTAGCTGTGCGGTATTTGTAGCTTTGTTGCGGGGGAAACGTCTTTTTTTTTCAGCTGACTGTTGAATTTTTTTGTCAATCATTATTATTTTCGTAAAAGTCAAATTCGTAATTGCTGATCGCACTGTTCACTCGCTCGTATGCAATTTTCCTTGGGGTTTGGCAAGAAACCATTCCACGCTGCGGATAGGGTTTCTTACAGTCTACCATTGCATGACGTCTGTTAGCTTGCTTTAGCCCTTTACTCCGGAGGCTTCTCGCTCTTGTCGCGAGCATTTTTGAGGGTGTGCTTGCGTGTGTGTAGGCGTTGGCGGCGGTGCGGCGATTTGGGGCCCAGTCCCAACAAGGCGCAGCTCTTTGATCAGGAAATAGGTGTGCGCAGTGTCGCGGCGTCGGTCTGCTGTTGTGTCGTGTCTCATCGTGTGAGCTCCAAGCGCCCATGCGAAGCATCTTTCACAGGTGACTGACTGCTCGTAATATCCAAGTTGCACGCTGGCAGTGTCCTTTCGTAAAAGATTGCCACACATACCCGATTGAAGAAACTCGAGCGTGTCGCGTATTATAGACGAGTAATCCTGAAGTTATTTTGTTATGTTCCTGTGTCTCGGTAAAGTTCTTAAATGGGAGCCTTGTTTTGCAGTATGAGGAACATGCCGACCTTTGTGATAGTTTGCGTGTTTGTGGCTAGGTCTTGTGGAGGTGTTCAATTGCTGTTTGTTTCTCTGCTTGTCACTGTTTGTATATATATGGATAGTGTGGTGAGGTCAGAGTGCGCGACTCGTAATCAGAAGGTCAATTCCCACACCGGTTATAAGAGCCTGTCATTCCTCTGGGCTCGAGTAAATGAGTTACCTTTTTTGGAAGTCAGCAATGACTTTTATTTGGATAAGCTGACCTCTGGCATCAATGTGGAATTTCCCCCACTGGCTCAGAACCGCCGGTGGAAATGACTGCTCCTGAATTACTCCTTCGAATTTCTTTATTGGATGCCAACCCTTTTTGAGCTGTGTATGCGAACATACGCTGAGTGAAGGGAACACTTTACACCAGAGAATGTATGCCGCCTTTTGAGATTGGGCCCTTGGCATCCCCACCCACCCACCGCCGCCCCCCCCACTGTCTCGCTTCATAGGCTGCAGATGGCGCTGCTGAGCTATTGACTTTAAGGAAGACTAAAGGATGAAGCCACCGACTGAAATATTTTGAAATAAGTTGTAATTTTCCAGTACAGGGCGAAACCGTAAAGGATAATCCAGAAGAAAATTAATGTGCCATGTCTAAGAGAAGAATGCCTTTAGAAAGATGCCTTGTTTTTTTTTTGTTATATACACAATTAATTCAGAGTCTCCTGCTCAAACAAACATTGGGCTGATGATCATCTCTGTAGACAAATGTTCAAAATCCTACGTTCATACGGCACAGGCCGGTGTCTCTTCTGGATGACAGCTGTTGACGTAAAATGATATTCATCGACCCTGGAGGGGCCGACATGTTGAGTCAACCCCGAGCCGAACTTTTGAGTTTCTGGTTGTGACACGAGCACTCCATATACATTCCGCCCCTGCCCCCGGAGTGACGCAATCATTGAATACGTGTACCCTACTTGAAAGGGTATAAAGTACCTATTAAGGTGAATATATGTACACCACAGCTACCATATTACATGCTCGCCCGCACACGCATTGTGTGTGGGCCGGTGCCAAAACGTGCATAAGTGCCTGCGTGATGTAAAAATAAATATATCCGTGAACTCTACTGCAGTGTCCTTCAGAGGTGTGTGCAGGATGCACTTCAGGGATGGATTGTTTTTTTTCAGAGCCATCATTGTCTTGTATTGCTCTGTGTGAAGGTGCTTATTCTCGGTCAAGTGCGGCTTAAGCAACCTTTATAAGATGGTTTACAGTTATCAGTGTGGGGACCGCAGCGTGGCTATAAGGGTTACTTCCGTTGCTTGTAAAATGCGAATACAGTAAACGTCCGTACTTGTACCGGGTTAATTTGATAGTGAACAGAACACACCCCCTGGGAGTGTTTCGCAAAGCGGAGAGAGCTTTGATGCTACCGTTGCAACTGCCTTGTTTAGTTTTAAGTCCAAGCACAAGCCGAGGTTTTGTTGGCAGGGCATAGTTATATGATTGCTGCCGAATACTAGCGTGCGTTCGCTGTGTGCAGTAAAAGCTTAGGATTGTTTTTCTTGCAAGTCAATTAAGGTGCGCTGTTAGAAAGTATGGAATACATCAACTGGATTTTTTTTCAGATCGCTCAAGCTTCTGATTACAGCTGGATGTATTCTTTTTTTTTTCCTCTCCAAAGGGTGGTATATTTCAAGCATTGTTGGATAGGATGTTTAATTTTATTTCAAAACGTACCCTATAATCTCCTTCTCGGAAATTAATTGCAACGGTCTCAAAATGTCAAAAGGAATGTAGTTGATAAAAGTAATTGATCTAAGAATTGAATGAAACTAAATACGTTGATTTTATCCAGGAGAGCCTCACCTAGTCTCTACATTGTATTTTTTCAGGAGGGTTTTACATTGGAGTCTTTGTCCAGTTCCTTTTAATGTGTATTTTGCTCGTGAATGGAAACCCACACATACCAATCCATGAATTCCCCTTTTTATAACCAGACGAGTGCCTGATGAGACCAAGTCTATGAGTATTCGGCAACCTGCTCATGCAGAGTAAAACTCTCAAACAACTGCACGGACACTACAGGAACCCACTTGCTCTACTGCCATCGGCTCGCCATGTCGCAGCCCAGCCGCAACGGAGTTGTAATTGGCTTGCGCTGTCGCACCTAACCGTGTTGAATTATCGGTTTATTGTCGGTGGATTTTCACAGCAATAGTTGTGGACATTAGAAACCCATCCAGCCTTGCGAGGTTGCAGTGGGGTGGGGGAGCATTGGAGGAGATGAAGTGTTGGTATGCTCATGAAGAACTTGAGAGTTATTTAAATGAGGATTTGTTTTACAAGCAGCAGCGGCACTGAAATTTGGCGATAGGAAAGTGCTTCAATCAAAACTGTTCACTAAGCAGAAACATTTAAGTACTTTTCGAGTAAAAAGCCCATGCCTTTTTTAAAATCAGAAAGGTAATAATAAAGGGTCTTAAAAATAAACTTTTGCATTAATGTAAATCCGGCAGATTACGACTCACTTCTCCACCGTAATTGACTGTAATCCTGAAGCTGACATCACATTATCGTAGTTGAAATCGGCGTGCTGAATTGCACTCCAAAAAATTAGACACTCGCTCCTTGTGGCATTAGCGAAAGGCCATGCCCAGGCAAGCCGGACGCGTGGGGCACGCACGCAACCCAATCTGAAAATTTCCAGCTGAATCTGTGGCTCTTTCAGCCCCCCCGCATTGTCATTGCGCTTATCGGAGAGAGTCCCTGTGAAGTGCTGGGCCATGACACGTTTTGTCGCGCTTAATTGCTCCGTTGGCAACCACCACCAACAACCATCACGAACACCACCACACACCACATGGGCCGCCACTCCCCCGCATTAGGTAATGGCTGCTTCATGTCTCGGGCATTGTTTTTGCCTCCCTTTGCCCTAAATGGCCAGAGGCGGCCGTCACGGAGCACAATGGGCGGGTTCGGGTCACCCGTGTTGCAGGCAGGGTCTGGCAGCAGGTGACGCAGCAGAGGGAATTGAAATGGCGAAAGGTTTTTTTTCTTCGTTCCTTAATGTCACCATGACTGTGACAGGTATAGGGTTATCGAAGGATTACGTGTAAAGAAAGGCATTTTTTTATATATATAGCGATCCCTTTACCCGAGGGGCACAAGCGATCGTGTGTTGTCCTGCTATCGCCAAGGTAAAAAAAATATATAATAATAACAACAACACTATGTGCTATCACTGTCTCTCTGCTGTCCATATCTGTTCAGAAATCTGCTTTCGCGTTTTGTCACTTTGCTTTGAGAGAAAAAAACGCAAACTTTCGGCGCTTGCGCGGGTTCGCACGTGCGTGTGTGTGTTCGTTGTGCCTTGTGTCTTGCAGTGGTTAGCACGCTGCGCTAAGAACCCGGCGTCCCGGTTTCGACTCCCGCTCACGGCCAACACCAGTGACGATTATCTGAACCGGTTCTGGGCCTCTTAGGTCGACTCGGCCTCAAATGAGTACCTGGTGCAGTGTGTAAACATCTTCACTAGGGAGGTGCTCCCTAACAGCACTTGCACCCAACAGTCTGTTCAGGTTATACAGGGGATATTTTTGTGCTAGGGTACATATGCCCGTGTACTTCCGTGCAACTCAACTGTACGTGCTCGCTAAGAGGAATGTGGGAACGTTAACGCCGAGGAGGAAGTGGATGATGGTGGGCGCGCTTGTCCTTTGTTCAAAGTTGTCACGAGTCGATCCCTCTTGAGTCGTCTACAACGGGAGGCCCACATGGGTTCTCACCGTCTGCGCTGTCAGATCCCTTGGACTGCGTTGTTACAGTGTGGCCTTGTTAAAACAGCGCCGTGAATTCTATGTTTGTTTTCACATGGAACTGTATATCACCTAACGCGTTCGTTTTTATCCTCTCTTGTTTTGCAGCCCGACAAAACCACAAGGTACGTTTCAATTTTCAGAATTCATTTCTCACTTGACAGTAGTTACCATTTTCTAAAAACTTGGAACGATGCTGCTTCATTAAAAGTTGCCATTTTTTGCCACAAAGAGACGCTTCACCAATCGGTGTTAAATTATTCTGATTTTGTTGAAAGTACAATTGCCATACTCTTTGGGTCTTTCGGTAAAGTCGCATAGTTAGAAATATCATTAAAAAAATGACGACGTTTCGATCGCAACACAAGCAATCGTCCTCGGGTAAAAAATATTTTTTCAGCTGAGGACGATTGCTTTTTCTACCTACGTGACTTTACCGAAAGACCCAAAGAGTATGAATTCCTGCAGTCACGAAAGCATTAAGTCAAGATTACAATTGCCGTTTACTATGCTTATGTAGAACTGGCACACCGTGGGGTTTGCCACTTCGCAGGAATTTGATTTGCAATGGCAACATTTGATCGAATAAGAATGCGAGATCAAACATTCGCTTTGAAAATATATAGTGCTGTATTCAAATCGAACACCTTTTGTCCAACTTTTTCTTGTGTTATAAATAGTTTTCAGTGTTAAAGGGTATGGGGAGCCACTGTGTGGCTTGAAGTTTTAGTTCCAGGACACCCAAGTTTATGGCCAATACACATGAGAGGAGACTTGTGAATGCTTCACAGCCAGTCCGAGCCCATGAATTACAGTGAGGGGAAACAAGTATTTGATCCCCTGCTGATTTTGTACGTTTGCCCACTGACAAAGAAATGATCAGTCTATAATTTTAATGGTAGGTTTATTTGAACAGTGAGAGACAGAATAACAGCAACAAAATCCAGAAAAACGCATGTCAAAAATGTTATAAATTGATTTGCATTTTAATGAGGGAAGTAAGTATTTGACCCCCTCTCAATCAGATTTCTGGCTCCCAGATATCTTTTATATAGGTAACGAGCTGAGATTAGGAGCACACTCTTAAAGGGAGTGCTCCTAATCTCAGCTTGTTACCTGTATAAAAGGCACCTGTCCACAGAAGCAATCAATCAGATTCCAAACTCTCCACCATGGCCAAGACCAAAGAGCTCTCCAAGAATGTCAGGGACAAGATTGTAGACCTACACAAGGCTGGAATGGGCTACAAGACCATTGCCAAGCAGCTTGGTGAGAAGGTGACAACAGTTGGTGCAATTATTCGCAAATAGAAGAAACACAAAAGAACTGTCAATCTCCCTCGCTCTGGGGCTCCATGCAAGATCTCACCTCGTGGAGTTGCAATGATCATGAGAACGGTGAGGAATCAGCCCAGAATTACACGGGAGGATCTTGTCAATGATCTCAAGGCAGCTGGGACCATAGTCACCAAGAAAACAATTGGTAACACACTACGCCGTGAAGGACTGAAATCCTGCAGCGCCCGCAAGGTCCCCCTGCTCAAGAAAGCACATATACATGCCCGTCTGAAGTTTGCCAATGAACATCTGAATGATTCAGAGGACAACTGGGTGAATGTGTTGTGGTCAGATGAGACCAAAATTGAGCTCTTTGGCATCAACTCAACTCGCCTCGTTTGGAGGAGGAGGAATGCTGCCTATGACCCCAAGAACACCATCCCCACCGTCAAACATGGAGGTGGAAACATTATGCTTTGGGGGTGTTTTTCTGCTAAGGGGACAGGACAACTTCACCGCATCAAAGGGACGATGGGCGGGGCCATGTACCGTCAAATCTTGGGTGATAACCTCCTTCCCTTAGCCAGGGCATTGAAAATGGGTCGTGGATGGGTATTCCAGCATGACAATGACCCAAAACACACTGCCAAGGCAACAAAGGAGTGGCTCAAGAAGAAGCACATTAAAGTCCTGGAGTGGCCTAGCCAGTCTCCAGACCTTAATCCTATAGAAAATCTGTGGAGGGAGCTGAAGGTTCGAGTTGCCAAACGTCAGCCTCGAAACCTTAATGACTTGGAGAAGATCTGCAAAGAGGAGTGGGACAAAATCCCTTCTGAGATGTGTGCAAACCTGGTGGCCAACTACAAGAAACGTCTGACCTCTGTGATTGGCAACAAGGGTTTTGCCACCAAGTACTAAGTCATGTTTTGCAGAGGGGTCAAATACTTATTTCCCTCATTAAAATGCAAATCAATTAATAACATTTTTGATATGCGGATGTTTTTGTTGTTATTCTGCCTCTCACTGTTCAAATAAACCTACCATTAAAATTATAGACTGATCATTTCTTTGTCAGTGGGCAAACGTACAAAATCAGCAGGGGATCAAATACTTTTTTCCCTCACTGTATGTATTCCTTATTATTATTATCCATATGGGAGTAAGTGTAGCGGCAACCCACATCGATTAGTTTGCCCCTTTTCGAAATTAACTTTTGCGCATCTCGGCTAAGCAGTAAAAAAAAAGTAAAAGTATCTTCATTATAATTCACCACAGTGGTCTGAAATCTATTGTTCCTATCGCTTGGAATCAAACCTCAAGCGACCAAGCCTGTTTGTGCGAGGGGGTGGGGGGGGGGCGGTGTTGTGGGGGAGCGTCGTGTTTCTGTGGTAATTGTTCACCGTGGCTTTCCGGCACCGCGTTTGCTCGTTTGCACCATGGTTTGTGTGACCCCCCACCCCACCTCTGCCTGCTGTGCCCCCATTGTAGTTCCATCCTCCACTCGGGCCCTATCCCCGCCCGTCGCCCTCCCTGGCCTGGCCTGTTGGGCAGTGGGTTGTAAGTGGTTTGAGCCCGGGATAAACGAGTCTTTTTTATTACCTTTTCTGCCGCTTTTTTGACCCCTCCCTCCTCCTACAAATCGATCCAAGGTTCTGTCACAGCCTTTGAGAGGGGCTGTGTTAGCCCAGGCACTGGGCCAATTAGCAGTTTACCTTCCACAAAGGGGCATCCATCCAGTCCCATCTGCTACGTTGGGTGACGTAAAACAAAAGAAATGAAGCCTCAATTTTTTGAAGGGGCTTTGGAAGGCTTTTGCTTATTGTGTTTGGCATTGATGCCCAGCACCATAAAAGAGCACGAGATGCATTTGTTGTTTATCCAGGCACCCCAAAGCACCCGTAGACGTTCTTGCAGCCCGCAATAATTCACTCGTGAGATAAGCAAGCGTTGTAAATTAAAACACAACTGCAAAAAAAATACCTCGGAAGGTAAACTGTTTTGAGCGTGCTGACGTTTTTTATGTCAGACCCTGCCATTGCTTTTAGAGGACAGGCTTTTGGGCTGTCTGTGCTGCTGACGTTACCGCCAATGGAAATTCCCCGGGGCCAGGCAGCAGTGCGCACAGCGCACAGACAGCGTCGTTAAGGCTTATCCATAGCAGCAGCTCTTTGCTTATGCTCGAAAAGGATCAGCATTTCGTCTTCCTCTCCGCAGGAGCGTAATTGGTAATGGAATGGAACTTTGGTTTTGCTTTTTTTTTTAAAGCATCCGTAGACATGCAGACTCGGGCTGTTTTGCTTTGAGGATTTTGCAAGCGTTTGATTTCCAAGCCTCTCGTTATATTTGACGATTCTCTTACCAATTACTGCGAGTTGAAGACGTCCGTGATAACGGTGACGGTGAATTAACCCTGGGGAGCAGAATGAAACGGGTCTCACAAATTAAACGTGGGTCTCATGGTAACAATGACATGAAATGCATTTGGGTTTGTTTGCAACAACGAAAACCAAATAACAAAATGCAACCCCACAAATGCATTTGAGCCGCTTTATTGTTTACATCATCAAAATTAGTGGCGATGGCTGTTTTCTTAACTTCTGATTTGGTTAAGCTGGTGCACGTTATATTTACAATGGATATATCGTTAATGGGAAGAACACTTTATTTAGCTTCATTACTCAATCCTGAACCCATTGTCTCACATGAACAGGTTGTTCAGGACAGATGTGCACCATTGAAAAACCGAAGATCGCAATGTGTCAATTTGATTGGCTGCCGTAAAACTGATTGTTATTTTTACCTTGTATCACATGGTCCTTTTGCCTGTCCTACAGTGGGTGGAGCTATGTAAGAGACTTCATCAGATATAATGCATTCACTTTGTTGACATCATGAGTCCTGATAACTTTTCCTACAGCGTACGCAGCTAACGCTGCTCGATTTAATCGGTCAAACAAAGGATCGTTGGGGCCTGCCGTGGATGCGAATGGCAGCTACCAAATTGAATTGGGTCAACGGAAACCCAAACCAGCTGCTGCAGTTGGTTAAAACGAATACAAATCTTGTGACGTTTTTAACTAATTGGGACCAGAAACGCTCATAGATGAAAGTGTGGATTGGATCAAAATTGATGTAGATGAACTGTAATTACCCTTTGTTGGAAAAAAATTCCACATCAAAAGGGCATCGCTTGGGTGATAACTCAGGGCAAAATCCAATGCGTTGCACCAACATTTTTGGATGGAAACATAGCTGCAGACCTTAACTCGAAATTGTACAAGTTTGTGTGTTCCGAACGAGTTTTTGCTTTAATCTCAATGTGCCTTGAACGGCATTTCAGAGGCATCAGTTACCAACATGCTCGCAGCGATCAACCATTGAGTCCAAATAATTGGTGCCAATCATTGCATCCACACAACATCATTACAACCACACCACATCATCGCATCCACATGTGCGCAACCACACAATGCGAACACATGCACGCGCACATACACACCCTCGCATGTCGCACCTCCTGGAATGCATGCACACTCACGCACACTTGCACGCAGGTTCAACACAGTAGCGACGAGCACGAGCCTCTCGGAGAACTACAGCGAACGGTACGCAGATCGGATGAGAAGCGTAGCGGCAGGCCGGCCTGGCCGCCCCGTGCCCTCCTTGGCCCCCGCCCCGCAGCCCACGGAGCTACCGGACACAAAGGACTACCGCAAGGTAACGGCCAAATCACGATGCAAACAGTACACCACACACTGTAGTATACCGCATGCAGTCGACAGTACACCACACACTGTTTGCTGTTGGTACACTGCCTCCCCCCATCTAAACGTCAATCACACTGTACTCTAAATATCAATCAGAAACTCCTCACACTGCATCTACCGAATGCACCCACACACCACAGTGCATCAATGACAAGTAGTTGTCCATTACCGTGGCACTTTTTTAATTTACACATCCTCTATTTTAAAATCGAGATTTTATTTTATCCTCGGATTCCCTTAAAAAATGAACTTGTATTTCCCAGTGGAATTTTGCCCCAGTGAAATACTCAATTCTGGACTGATTGTTATCTTAATAATGTCCTTTCTTTTGTGCAAAAAATACCTTGCTGAGCCTTAAGACTTGTTCATGAGGGTCTTGCATTGGTCTACCCCGATGGCTCGGGAGCCAATGCTGCGCTGCCATCACATTCCCACTGTGTTAGCCAAGCGGTATGGAAAATCTCGGAGCCCGTAATGATTTTGGTGTATTCCATCAAACCTTGCTACAACTAGCCCAGCGAGGCCTTCGCTTGCGGTTCGTCAATTGCGTCGGACCCTGACCCCCCCCACCCCGCCCACCGTGTCTCCCTTCCCCGCGTGTAGCTGTATGAGCAGATGAGGAAGGAGAACGAAGAGATGAGGAAGAAGTTGCGGGACGCACAGCTTCAGCTGGCCGAGACCAAGGTGCAGCTGGAGAGGGTGACACAGGTGAGTGGGTGACGCTTCATCACTGAAGCAACACCCCTCACACCCCTGCTCAGAGGACAGTGGCCAGTGGCACGACTTGTTGTGCCAGACTGGAAAATGCAAAAATATGCATGGGGTTTGTGGAAAGTCTGCTATAGCCCTTCATCTCGATGAGTCAAGTAGACCTGTTTAATACAAACATCTGCATATGTGTGTTGAACTTCTCTTGCACCATACGTAGCCAACCGTGCGATTCTTAGGTACTGGGGAATGATGATGATGATGATAATAGCCTTTCTCTTGATGGTTTGTTTTGAGTGGTAGGTTGATTTACGTCTTAGAATTTAACTGCTGGCTAGAGGATGTGGCCTCACCATTTAATGTTTTTTTTTTTCATGAGATAGGCGGAAGGATCGCACTGGCCAGATGTGCTATGGGAATAGTGTGCAGGATAATTACGTAGCTTTTGACAGATTGTTGGACAAAACTAATAATAATTCTGAAGTATCCGTTCATTGCTAAAATATATGAACATTTCACTCATTGGCCACTTAACCATCTGAACCGCTGACTTTTTGACTTCCCGTTGTTTGTTATTGTAATGCCTCGGCCATCACAAATTGTTCTCGTTCATGTGTTACGTTGGCCAGGTCAGATTGTTCTGAATCTAGTGTCTCGTTCCACTGACGTCACAACTTGCCCACTATTAGCCCTCGAGTGGGCAGGTCGATGGCATTCGGCGGGTGATGTGATGAGTCGTCGCTGAAGGCAGCGTGCCACTGTGTAGTTTGTATGCCACGCTGTCACCATGAAGTCATCGCGTTCAAATCAATCACTTGAATAACAAATCGTTAACCGTGTGACAATTCGCCTCCCACCTGGTAGTTGAATTGCTACAAATGAGTTAAATCTTGATTTGCCTACTTCAGCAGTTTTTTTTTCTTGCTGTGGTTGTCCCACCTGGTGACGGTGGCTTGTGTTGCGATCGAAACGTCGTGATCTATTTTATTTTTCTACCTACGTGACTTGACCGAAAGAACCCAAAGCGTTACAAATGAGGTCGCACGGTTCCATTGAATAATCACGTATTTGTTTTGTTTGAACTGGCTCGTTTGCATGTTTAACACGTGGGAGGCTTTCACGACCAACATTATTCAGAATAAAGGTTTTTGGGTTAGATCACGTTATTTATAAATGTGGCGCAACCCTCCACCACCCGACACGGCCAATCAGTAAAAAAAGTGTCACGTTGACAAAAGACAGTTCACTATTTTAGCCCACCGGTGTGTTGAAGAGTGAATCCACAACATTTACAATTTTTGAGTACGACGTTTCGCTGGGAATTACATCCAGCATCATCGCGGAATTTGACAGAATATTGCCCAATGATGCTGGATGTAATTACCAGCGAAACATCGTAGTCAAAAAATTGTAAATGTTGTGGATTCACTCTTCAACACACCGGTGGGCTAAAGTAGTGAACTATTTTGTCTTTTGTCAACGTGACACATTTTTTATGAGTGGCAGTATCGGGTGGTGGAGGGTTGCGACACATAAATAACGCGATCTAACTCAAAAACCTTTATTATTTGTCTTGTTTGTATATTCGTGCATATTCTCTTTGTTTTGTCCTCTTTTTTATTCGATTATCCTAAAGGCCATTCATTAGCCTCAAGGTATATCGATTAGCCTAGAGGTACACATCATACGTAACGACTTTGACCCACAATTCGATGTATATATCATGAACAGATAGATAATTTAGCATCGATGAATTGCTCCTTGTTGACAGATTACCCGTAAAGTTAAAGGCATATTTGCAAACGACCTGGTGACTCATAATGGTTCTGCCTCCCCTCTGCTATTTTATCTTTTTCTGTCACAGAGACAAGAGCGTTTTGCTGACAAGACGTCGCTGTTGGAGGCAGAGAAGAGGGTAAGGTCTTTGCTTTCGCTCGGGTGCTGCTCCGTGTGAAAGCAGTGCACTAACTTATTTAGGAGGCTGTAAAGAAAAGCGAACGGATAAACTCGGTTTGTGCTCTTGTAAATAACGGAACGGCAGGCCCGCACGCGCCTCCCATTAAATTGACCGACGGGGTCTTCGCTCAATATTGGGGTCGTCGTCGTGAAAAAGTTATTTAAAGGAAAGTGGTTTCCAGAAGGAGAAGGTCACTGCGTGGATTGAGGGGGCCACTCGTTGTATGGATTCGCCATCCCCGACAGCAATAGCTATCGGTCGCTGGGCACGGCCAATTATTTCAATTGTACTATTTTCTTAAAAGTCTGTCTCCTTCCTTTCAGGAAGGCTGAACCCCCCCGCCCCCCCCCAAAAAAAACACGTTTTAGATAAATACATAGTCCGTGCGTTATTCTATATACAATTTTATTTTAAAATGCCAAAGGTCACTCGCTTCATATTTGCACACTCGTGTTATTTCTCCCATTCACGTTATTACAACAGCAATGTAATGCGCCGCCACTGGAGTGCTATCGTACTTTCAAATAAGTGTTGGACAGCCCGTGGCGCACTGAGCTGTTTTTTTTCCCCCAATGTAAATTCCTCGCTGCTTTGGGTGGGGGGGGGGAGTCCCAGCCTCTCCACTGGATGACCACTTTTGACAACCCATAATGTTGGCACTCACTTTATGAGGATTTTAAAACAACAAATTGGTACTCAATGCATTGGATCAGGAGTGATGATGGCCACGTGACTAATTAAATAATTACTTGTGTGGTTAATAATGAACCAAGGGCAGGTGCCAGCTGTCCATCAATCCTCCGGGGTCGATAAAATGGTGACTACCTTGTGGGAAGTTGGGAGTGGTTCTTCTCCGCTGTGACTGGCCTTTTGCCATAGAAATGTTGAATTTGTGCAACTGGCTTGGGGCTGTTGACGGCGATGAGTACGACCAAACATATTATTTAAGAACGCTCTTTGTCATTAAATCGGGTACGTGGTTATATTTATCGTAATTGTTTCAATCTGTTTGCTTGTATGTCTGCTTCCGTGCCTGTGTTTTTTCTTCAGAATATAAAAAGTGTTCTTTCTGCCTCGAAATTTAGGCATGCTTGGAGGTCGGTAGAGTTGCGCTTTCAGAGTTGGTTGATGTAGATGCTTTTCACATTCGTCGCTCTGAGGTTATGGAATATGTAGTCGTTATCATTTAGGTCATTGGCATCTAGACATTTTAAAATGCCTCCGAAAGACTCGCTCTTTAAAGAAATATTTAACAAGTAATTAAATGTTGGAGAAAATAGTTTTTCCCACGCAGTGAGAATACATAGGCATTACTTGGTTACATTCATGTAAATGAGCTTTCTGCATTTTATTGACGTTTAATGTGTATGTTAACACTATGTGATTTGTGCATAGTTTTTGAATGATATGCTGTTGATGACGATGATCATGATGGTACAGTCATGATACTTGACTTGAAGTGTCTCACTTCTTAGCTGTTTGCATTAACATCTTGCCACTAAAAGTAATAGTTATTCCATCACGTGAATTGGGAAACCACCTTGTGCAAAATTTCAGGTTTATCTGCACGTTCTTGATGTTGAGCATCACCGCTTCACTGAACCAGGTCCACGTGAAAAGCGACTTCGTTTGGCCAACATTTGTGGCCAGGTCGCTTCCTAAAAAAACTATATAGCTCAGTGGGCCTTACGTGGTAATATAAAAAATATATATTACTAGTAGTTTAAGCGTAGTATTCTATCAATTTAACCTTTGGCATTATCACAGAAATGAGCAGAACTAGTATTTGTGCATTATTTTTCCAGATTTGTTTTGTGCAAATCAAGTGCAGTCTCACCTGCATTTAGGGTCACCTTTTCCCTTTGAGGCTCTCAATGGAGTTACCATGCTTTTGGGAAGTCAGCAGTGGTTGTTTTATTGATGGGCTCCCCTCTGCCAAAGAAAAAGTAGAATATCCACCACTTGCTTGCGGATTTCATCAGAGATAAGCACCGCCCTTTGATTTAAAGCTTTCGTGACTGCAGGGATTCATATTCTTGGTTCCTTCGGTAAAGTCACGTAGAAGGGAAACAATAAAATAATAAAAATAAAGAAAATATTGCTTTTTATTATTATTTTAATAAATAAAACAATAATAAAAATATAAAACAATATTGTTTTATATTTTTATTATTTTATTGTTTCCCTTCTACGTAACTTTTACCGAAAGAACCAAGAATAAGCACCACCACCCTGTGCGCATTTGAGAATGGGGGCGCTTTTTTATTGTTTTAACAAAGGATGCAGTTTTTGTTGAACGGCCTCCACGAATTGATGTCCTCTGTTCGTTAAACCAGGAAAAAAGAGCCCTGGAGAGAAAAGTTTCAGAGATGGAGGAGGAGATGAAGGTACCCCCCGTTAATTAACTATTATATTTATCTGCGCATCGATGTTCATCTGAACATTTCTGTGCTTCCACACTTAGCCCTTTGTTTTCCCATTATCTACCCCCTCCGCCCCTCCCATCTCCTTCACCCCCATACCACACTCTGTTGCTATTTGTCTATTACGGGCACCCTTTTAAATTGGCGTACTTTGTAACTACGATCACGACCTCATGTTGTTCTCTTTGCTTTCCACCCCCCCCCCCCGCACCTGTTCCCTGCAACGCTCACGAATCGCTCTCCACACCCCGGCCCATCCCTGCGCTGGCCCACGCTCCACTCGCACGATGAGGACCCTTGCGTTCCTCGACGTTGCTCGCCAATGTCTCGTCGCATCCTTCTCCTCTTCCCCCGCCCCTCCACCTCTAAATGCTTCCGTCTGTTGGTCCCTCCATGTGGGGTGTTGCTCCTCAATGCTACATGTCCTCCTCCTCCTCCAACCCGATCAATGCTCATCTGTGACTGTTCCCACCACCGCTCTGCTTCCCTCTTCATACATGCCTCGTTTTATTTGCCTCTCTGTTTATGCAATTCCCCCTTCGTGTACTTGTATTTGTCTTTTCGTCCTTCTGTGGCGCACCCCTGGCTTTGCTTGCCTCCGCTCGGTGTCTCATTGGTGGTTGTGCGCAAATGTGTATTTGTGTGGCTGGTGTTGTGGGGATGTGTGCGTGCGCGTGTGTGGTGGATGCCACGTCTCCATGTTATGTTTTTTGTGTGTGCACGCTTGTGTGTATGTTTACACGCATACATCTGCGTTTGTGTACGCAAGTGCTTTTGCTTATTTGTGTGTGCGTACTCATGCTTGTGCGTGCGTGTGGGTGCACGTGCATATGTTGCTGTGTACCGGCATGCATGCATGTTTTGGGGTCGTGCATACGTGTACGCATGTATGTATGTATGTGCGAGCGCATGCTTGTGCGTGTGTGTACGTGCTTGTGCATGTGAGTGCATGTGCAAACGTGGCTGTGTACGCATTCGTGCGCCTCTATAACGTGTGCGTGCCTGCCAACGTTTGTGTATGTGTGCGTGTTCCTGCTTGCGTGTGTCTGCGTGCGTGCGCATGCTTCCGCGCCGTATCCTTTGTCGTGGCTGCGTCGCTTGGCACACTGTTCCCCGTCTTGTCTCCCTCTGTGTCGACGGTGGGGCGGGCGGTTGACCCGGGCAGCCTCTGGAGCAGGTAATGCAGCAGGTGCGGGCTCTGAGGCAGCTCAACGAGCGGCTGCTGGCCGCGAACAAGGCCCTGACGCGGGCCGTGGCGAATCTGTCGGGCTCCTGGGGCCCGACAGCCGCAGCAGCGGCAGCCGCGGCAGCTCTACCCCGTAGACCTCTAGCCACCCCCCCTGTCCCCTGTCCCCTGCCCCCCCACTCCTCCTCCCGACTAAGGCAGGTGTCTTGCATCAATTCCTCAAGCCGAAGGGATGAGTTAAACTCCACTTTGGTTTGCAAAAAAAGCGAGCCGGGGTTAGGTGCTCTTATTTGCCAGAATGTCCGTGCCGAATTTGGGCGGCTCCCGTTTTTCCGCGAATCGCACGCAAGGCTCGAGCCTTCAAATGCCACTGTGCCAAAGAGGGCCACCCTCGTGGGCGTGCACCGCAGAACGACGTCTTTGTTTCATTGTTTCGCGTACGCCCACTGTTTCTCAACTGTTTACTGGGATCGTTACGAATGGAAACTTTACGAAAGATAAACTGTGGATGGAGCGCCGTAATTTGTATGCGCAGTACTGGAAACCGCATGTATTGAGGCCACGCAAACTGAATATCCAGTTTAGTTATCGCATATTTCCACCTATCCACAGTCATAACCTTATCTCTCTAGCTTAAATGAATGGTGTAACATTCCTGAGTTGAGTTTTTATTGCAGTGTTGAAATGTGTTTTATTCCATGTTTAATAGTGCCAACTTCATTGTGTTGTGCAACACATTTGCACTTTCCTTAACCATTAATCTCAACGACTGTCCTTGTCCACGTACAATGAATTGAGAGGCTGGGAGGCCCAGCTCGCACCCACACCCGTCTTCCCTGGGCTTCCCGGCCCAGGGAACCCAGGGAAAGATCGAGGCAAAGAATGGCACGACCTCAACCTGGAAATAAAAGCATGTAGGAATTGAAGATATGAAATGAAGGCATACATAATAATGAATCAGAAAAATAAGATAAATGTATCTCGATGAACATAGATTAATCCAATTCCTTTTCAAATATTTCCTCGGCTATATTGGGCCAGGCTGACATGGCCACATGACCCCATCCAGCCGGAGTGCACAAGGAATGTGCACTCTTGACGTAAATTTTAGATCAGTAAATAAGACTCGGTTTTTGTTCCTAGATGAAGACTATTTGCTGTCATATTTAAGACCGACTCTGTGACTGCAACATCGGTTTGAAGGCATGCCCCACGTGGGTCAGATATGAAGTCTGGGAAAACCAATTTTGCAAACTAATCTGGAGTGAAATTCATCCCTCGTCTCCAATTGTTCTGTATTTTTTTACTCCCCCCCCCCCTCCCCCTTGTTTCCCCCCTTTTCCCTTCCTGCTGCTGAATTCCCCCAAGTCCAATGTGTTCGGTCCTGAACGGAACGGCTTCACCGCCGTTGGACCGTGTGCAGTGGGGGGTGGGGGGCGGGGGGATCCGTTTACACCCCCACTTTGATCAGCAGAAATTAGTTGGTGGGGCCAGCAGGTGTTACTAAGCCAACTCCATTCCCACGTGGAGCGGTGTCTGCATTTACCTTTCCCCGGCTGCGTTTGGCTAATCCCAGTTGACACAAATTTCGCCAAGCTCGATGTGATTGACGGAAGAAAAATTATTTTAAAAAACGAGAAACTTCCCCGCCGCCTATCGTGCGGGGGTGGGACCTCTTAACAGGTGCACACACTCCGCTTCAGAGTGTCCCTTCTCCCCCGACTGCCATATGAAAAAACAAAGATTTAGCACTTGGGTTAATCCAGATTTTCATCGGCGATCACGCAGCATGCTCCTTTCCTCGCAAAGGTTTTTGTGCAAGCGGTGTTTCTGTATTCACTTGTACACATGTGCACGCATGTTAGAAAAAGTGTTAGTTACCAGTTCGTAATGTTCATGTTGATCATATGTCATGGACCATTGTCAGTCGCATGTAGGATATGGGGTGGAAAAGTTGGTCTCCCCATCCGTGTTCAGCCTTTGATAGAAATTCGACTTGATAGAATGATGGTGGAGGGGTCACCTGGTGTGGCTGGGGGCTCCCCCCAGTCCCCTCCCACCCGTCACCATTAATAATGATTCCAGTTCATAGGTTTTGAGTTGGATTAACGCAAGTACTACATCCCTGGGGGGGGCAGTGTTTGCATTATCCCTTAACTCATGACAACACTAGACTTTCAACTAAATCAAGGAAACCTCGACATTGTTAGTCTTAAATTTCCCCACAATTGCAGGAGGCTTAAGTAGGCAATAATGAGCTGAGGTGGTGGGTTGGACAATCACGTTTCCAGCTTATTCGAAGCCTGAAATTCCGTATACCCATCTTAATATAACCAAGTATAAATCAGCTTTTTTGAAGCAGTGGTGACAGTGAAGGAGAGAGAAATGACAATTATTACCGCTTTGGTTATTTCATTTCATTTTCAATATCGGGCTATCTATCCAGGGCTCGTAAAATACCATTGTGGGAAGTCAACGGGAGCTGACTATCCCTCCACCATTGGAATGTATAATTTCCATCGCTGTCTTGGAGCGACCAACAATGATAGTTTAAACAGGCAGATATTTTAACTCTATTGTAGTAATAATCAGCACGCAGGCTCGAATTTTATGCAGTCCATGTGCCTTTTGGTCGTTAGCGAGGCCTTTCCTCCAGGGGCTCCACTGTAAGGTGTAATTTGGTTTCATTTTGTTAAGTAAAAGTTGGTGCTAAATCGACCTATTGGCAGTACCTGATGTAGCCACATGGGAAATTGGTTGCCGGTACATACTGCTGATCAAAGCTGCGTGTGATTAACCTTGTGTGGTTCTTCTGGGTGTCTTTTAAATGATGAATGAACATCGTGGACTTATTCTTTGTTCTTTCGGTGTTTTCGAGTGTAATTTTTGCAGTTTTTTTGGTTTGTATTTACACAAGTGTTTTGTCACCTGTTAACTTTCCAGAGTCTCCGGTACAAAACTGCAGATTACAATGATGTAAACACGTCCAACACTATTATTGAGGCAACTGTTGTGTGGCACGTGCTTGGCCTTTGCAGCACGATGACGGTGCAAAGCCGCGTTGCTAATGCCTCGCTTAAAGTTGCTAATGCCTCGCTTAAAGTAATCTTTGTTGTTGTGTGTCCCCGTTTGATCCCACCCGTCCGAGCGCCACTCACGTCGTGGGCTTGCCGAGGCAAAAAACATTTCTTCCGGAATTCTTTCGTCGAGTGCCTGAAAGCTTTTTTCTGAGCACAAATGTTGACACAAAAAAACCAATTGGTGATTTGAGCGCCTTCAAAGGGATGAAAACGTCCCAGTTTCAATTCCAAGCGGCCACGTTTTTCTTTTTGTAACTTGAACGTGCAGTTTTTTTTGTTCGTAAAATTTTTATTGCGTTTTATGCCTTGAACTCGGAACTTTTCTACGCACTGACATTTCTCAATTCTTTTGTCTTGTCGCTGTGTTTTATTTTTCGCCCGCCGTGCAGGGTCTCGGAGACCTGAGGGCTGACAACCAGAGACTGAAGGACGAGAACGCTGCGCTGATTAGGGTGATTAGCAAGCTGTCCAAATAGCAGCGATCCGCTCCCCCGCCCCAGTCGTCCCAGTCGCCCGCCCTCACGCAGGGGGGAGGGGGTGGAGAGAGCCGCAAGCCGGACGATGAAGCACATCCGTGAACCCGTCCGCTGGCTGTTCCCGGCGCTGGTGGACATCGTACTCCACTGACCACCACTACTACTTACCCTCCCCCACTTCCCCCCACCCTGGCTCAGAGACTTGACGTGGACGCACGTCCTGGATGCCACTCTGCACTGCCAATTGCGAAGGCGGTAGAATCTGCCGCACCGAAGACGGTTGGGGGGGGAGGTGGCGACAGTCCATGCTGGTTAATGCAGCCGCATGCGCGTGCATGCGTACGATTAGCCTTACAAGAAACCACGTTGTGTTGCCGAGTGTGCGCGGTGTTGACCGAGTGATTGGGATGGGGGAGAGACGGAGAGAGGGGGGGGGTCATCGCGGTCTGAGACTGCAATTGCTTTTTCCTTTGCAGGCGTTTGTGTGTGTGCTCTGTGTAGCCGCTGGGGGGGGGGGGTGGTACATGTGATTTGTGTTTCTCAGCTTGTGGCGTTAAAGGTCGGGAGAGAGAGGGAAGTGGAGAGAGGGAAGGGGACAGGAAAGGGGCTGCGTGTGCCATTCCGTTCATTTTACCATTATTCTTATCACTATTGATATTTTATTTGTTTTAATATTATTCCCAAATCCCGTTCCATTGAGTACACAGTTCGTTTTGTGTTGTCCCATCTATGGTCACTTGTTTGTTTAAGGGCAATGAGCAAACGAACGAAACAGCTTTATTACAGCATCGCGTATTCAGGCTTGCACGGTTGCTCCCAAATCACCTTTGGCATTGAACCACTATCTACTCACCCGTGCACCCCCCCCCCTTCCCGAGAGAGGAGGTCACGACACTGTGTATGTTACCCAACCAAGTGTGTACTCGTACGGTCAGGTTAAGGAGGTGGCCGGGGGCATTTCTCTATGGCTCCGTGTGAGAATGTCCGCCAAGCCAACTCCTGTGTAAAGCTCACATTTGCGCGCACAGCCACTTGGGCTGGGTGACCAGAGATCGTTACGGTCTGAGCACCTCCTTGCTCAAAAGAGCATTAGTTGACACGTAACTCCCCTTGGTGGCCCTGTTTGGACTGGGGGAAATTCGACGTGACCATTATTCAGATTTGTCCTATAGGAGGATGTGACCACTGTTGACTTCCCACAAAAGGTGGTACCTGTTTTAATTCTTATCGACTCTAGGGGAATGATGGGACCGAGTCTCAACTGACGATCTGGATTTGAGTTTTGCGACTTTCCCATTGCAGGTTGAGCGTGCCCGCGGCACGTTGCCACTCGGTCGGGCACGACGGTGTGAGGGTTCAATAAATTAACAAAAAATCTGCTCGGCTGAGTGTGAACGAGAGTATCCCCGAGGCCTCTCGCCTAAAGCCCCCAGCTTGCAAGCGTTACATTTGCTACGTTATTTTAATGCTCATGTTATATATTTTTTGTTGACTTGAAATAAAAGGCATGTAACAGTATATCCTTCAGATTGCCATGCTAACGCAGTCAGTGCATTGACCTCTTATGTCCACCAATACATTTCTAAAGGGCAAAAGGGCTTTGACATCGGTGACCCGGCAACAAAATGCGCTTGCGCGTCCATGGGCAACTTTAGGAAATGCATGCACCAGTTGAGCCAGATTAGGCAGAAGAAAACCACGGTTTTTTTAAAATTAAGAAACCCAGATTTATACATGTGTTGTCACACATGAAGTTTGAACCACATTTCCACAGCAGCCTCTTTGCAGACCTCATTAGCTGTTAGTTTGGTTTTGGTTTATTTTTTGTATCTAATCTTTCCCAAAACATGTTGGGCCTGATTCATGGGTTGGTTGAAACTGCTGTCCTGGCTACTTTTCCAACAAACAATGACAAACTGTCTTTTTTACCTTCGGTGTACGAGTCGAGGGGGGGGGGGGGGGGGGCTCAGTATATGTGTCTGCAGAAAATAACTTTCCACCAACATTTGGTGGGAACAATGCAAACGCCAATTTTTGTTGTTGCATGTTTGACAATCTTCCAATATAAATTGGAGAATCTGCTAAAAAAAAATTGGCTGCTGACAGATGGAGCCCAAGGCATTAAGTCAGTCTGTGTGGTACATTGCATTCGGTGAGAAAAAAAAAGAGATTGTCGGCCTTACGGTGCAAACAAGCTGTGTGAATGCATTGCTCTTAACACTGGTATTATTAAATTGGTGTGACTGAACTGTTCATGTCGGCTAAGTTCAGTTCTCAAGACGGGCAATAGATGGGGTCTGCTACGCAACATTATTGCCTGGGCATGCTATCCATCACTTGTTAAAAGTGAACATTAGCCACGTGATGTTTAGTAAAACAAATATTTTGAAGTTTGTGATTGCCTTCAGAAAGTTAAATTTTTTGGAAAAATTCCTGGCCAACAAAATAGGATTTTTTTTATTGCATTATTCATGGATAAATTATCTGCATGGGTAGCGCTTCGACTATTTGGTAGATTACAAATCCCAAATAGGGATTAACACATCCCATCATCCCTCTGGTTATTAAAACGCATACCTGGGGGAAGTCGAACAGTGGTCGTGCTTAGTGTCGGCTCTCCAATATCGAGTGAAATGTGGAGCTTCCACGGCGTCACCGGGTGGTCATAGTCCGCAGGGTCATTGCAGCTGATGCTGTCCACAACCCAACCGTCGCATCCTAACGCATCCCAAAAACGTGGCGGTCAACAACTGCCCTTAATTTTTTTTATCTGTCCTTAGCTCCTCGTCTTGGTTGTAGATCTATGGGTGCCCGCTCCACAGATGGTCTGGCACAATGCCAAGGCGTGTTTTGAGAAGGGAGTTTTTAAAATGTAACGTGATGGTACCAAACGTTTTGTTTGCCACTGTTTGTTAAAAGGAAGGGTCTTGAAAAACACAGACGTAGCCCGTGCGTGCAGAGGCACATGTGATGTCATGGTGGTAACTCGTGGATGTTGCTATGTAAACTTGTAGCTACAAGCGCGCGCACCCCTTCATGTTATATAACGGTCTCCCTGCTCCAACTGTTGCTTGAGGCGGTGCTCATCTGCTCAGGCCGCCCTAAGCCATTGGTGGAATTTCCTTGTGACCATATTGGGAGCGAGACTGGACCCCACCACCCCCTGTTGACTAAGCACAAGGGGAACTTTTCTCGAGCGACCCACAGGGACGATGGGTCGCATGAACCCCTGCACGGAACTAGAACTTAGAACCCTCCAATCGGGCGTCAAAAGCTCTCCGACCAGTCACGGCTGACCAAATTTATACATTGACTTCACGGCTGAAATTTCAATAAGCATGAGCATAACATAACCGTTATTAATGCAGTTTACAGCAACTTAATGACCCTATACAATAATGCGCAATTGGGTAAAAAAAACCTCTCAAAAGTAATGTTTCAAGTCATGTTTCTGCAATTTTGAAAAATCATAAACACACTGAACCGTGTCACCAGAGTGATTTTGATCATTCTTACCAGGGCTCTTGAATAGAGGTCACTTGCCAGATGCACAACCATAGCCTTATCGCTGTCCTAAAATAAATTTCCCACTCCCACCAAGTTTAGGGGCAGTCACAATTCACCCATGAATGCCCTCTTCGTTTTTATTATATTTTCTTTTCTACGTTTTGAAATTGTCTACCCAACACTGCGCGTGTTTCGCTATCTCTATATATTAGCCTCGCTTCCCACACGACGTGTCAAAACAGTACTCCCAGTACGTGCAAAGCATTTTGTACGCGTATTAAGAATAATGATACATTAAGAGTCAAACGCTTGGAGTATTTTATACATACTGACTAGATGTCCACATTGAGTTGAGGAAGTGAAAAAAACTACTTTTAAAAACAATAATATAAAAAATCACGTAATAAAAATAAGTAAGGCTTTGTTTTTGAAAAGCAAAAAATTAATAATCATGCACACTGTATTGGACTGTTAATAATACACCGTTGGAGTCTACGCGTGTACAATGCCATGCTTTGCGAGAGACGCCCAGCATGTCTACCTGTATATGTACGTACGTTTTGTATGTATATGTATGTAACGTGCTTGTGCAGCCCAGATAAGGGATGCGGCGGCCCCCTGATGTGTATGGTTAATGGCGTGAGAGTGGTTTAATTGATGATGTGGTTTGAACGTCTGGGAGGGGTCACAGCTGTAAGCACTCACGGACAAGAGTTCAGTTAATCCATCACAGTTTTTAACGGAACTGTATACTATTTTGTCACATAATTTTAAACAATAAAAAAAACATTTTAAAAATGTACGTTGGCTTTCTGTGGCCTTTGTGTAAGCACGAATATGTAATGTCCTCGAATTTTGGCAGCTGCCAAAATTCCAATGCACCTCCAGTGTGTGTCCTCGTTGGCACCCACAACCCAGGGTATTGGTATCCTGGGTAATCAAAGCATTTGCAGGAAGACAAGCCTTTAATCGAACTTCAGGCAGGAATGGAGTAACAAGGAACCGTGAATAGAACGTGGACACTTGGCCGGGTGCCACTGCGATTCGAGTGCTCAACACAAAATCAAAAGGTTGCGAGCTCAAATCCTGGGCGAGTCTCGTGCATCCCGGTGATAAGGGGCCGTCCATAAATGACGTCACGGGGGGGTGTCAGACATTTGTGACGATGTGTGACGAGGGGGAGGGGGTTTTGAGAAATGTGACGTCACATCAAATTGCGCAACTTTAAATAAATATAGACACGTTCTACTTAATTAAATATTTTTTAAAATAAATGTTTATTCTTCATCAGAGTGCAGCGCCGCATTAAAACGCATTACAATGACAATAGTTTAAAGCGATTTGAAGCATGTTTTATTTCTTTTGGGGGGGGTGCAGAACTTTGTGACGTCATTTGAGGGGGGGGGTCTGACTTTTGTGACGCCGTGTAACGAAGGGGGGGTCAAAAATCGTCCAAAATTCGGTGACGTCATTTATGGACGACCCCTAATGCCAGTGGACTGTTTTATCAAAAATGAAAGAATTTCCATACAATTGGCAACTTAAATATTTGCCTGCTGATGCCATGATTTACCAACCAAGTTACCCTTTGCAGGCACTGGAAGTGCTGCATTAACGACAACAATGGCACAAATAAAGTTCACTTAAAATATATATATAAATTGTGACAATTGCAACAACGACTGTTGACCAATCAATGAACGCGCACGAAAAACGAAACTTTCCCGAAGGTTAAAATGCATTTTGGGTAATTTATAGGTGGCGAACCACTTTTCAGACCATAGAGGAGCGTCGTTCAGTGTTGTCTGACATGTATCGAAGTGACAAGATCATTGTGTGACGAGATTATTCTGTGATGTTATCGTCTGAATCCGTTCCTTCGGACTGTGGCACTTGCGTGACTTTGGGAAGTTCATTACAGACAGGTTCAGGTTTCTTGACACGACTCCGATAGCACCGTTGAAATAAAATGGCGATCCAATGAAAATAAACCCCATTACCAATGGGGACAATTCGCTTCGTATTTTAGTGAACATATGGCTGCACTGCCTGCCTGTACGTCACAAATCCCTTAAAAGCAAACCCTGTTAATCGATTCCACAGGTGCCAAATTGATATAACACGGCCCTGAAATGTTAGTACGAATAATCACACGCACTTGAAAAGCCGCAATAACAAACAAAAAAAACCCAAATATAAATTATCTTCCATTACAATGGAAACATTGGGCCGTGAACTCCCAACCTTCGATTCCCCACTTTTATGTTAAGGATGTGGTTCTACCAGAGTTTCAATGTTCAAGCACACGCACCTGCGGGTCACAACACTTCTGTTCCGACTATTTCCCTCGCATGGTCCGACTTTGGAATTCCCTGCTATCGCCTCTTTTCGCAAGTTCTTAACAGTAACCTTCACAGGTTCAAGAAACGCATTCACTCAGACATAGTACACCTTTAACAGAGCTGTTCGTCGCTGTACGTTTTGGAACTTTGGTCCTCTGCTCAGCAACCATCATTAAAGTCACGTAGGGAAATAATAAAATAATAATATATTTTTTTATCTTATTATGTTTTATTTTTATTATTTTATTGTTTCCATTCTGCGTGACTTTACCGAAAGAACCAAGAAGATGAATCCCTGCAGTCACGAAAGCTTTAAATCGAAAATTTTAAAAAAGGAGCTTGCATAACTGGATTTGTGTCCTAGGCTGTCGAACATTTGAAAAAAAAAAGATGTTAAAGTGACGGTCCAAGTGTGCTGTTATAGCAATGTAGTGATGATCTAAGTACATCCACAGATATAAAATTAAAGGAGTGACATCACGAGAATGTCATTACAATGCACCTGACCATGATTTTGGTGTTAATAAAACAAGACCTACGTTTGCTTTGGGCTTGAGTCTCAACACCTTTGCACTGCTGGAGTCGAAAGTCGTGGTTAAGCGGTGCGGACTTTGTTGCTTCCTGCAAATTTTGTGCAATAATTTTCAACCCTCTGCTCATGGTTTGTTGGCTTTTCATTTGCGACACAGCTGTGCAACCCACTGAGAGCATTGGTGTAGTCGGTCGGTCATGGTCCATGCCAAGGCCGAATTCCCGCCCTCCCCTCTCTCCTGAGTGACTCGGCCTATGGATAAAGAAAACACAAATAAGATGTGATAATTATCTGTATTAAACGATATCTATATTAATCCACTATTCTCACTAAATATCACCATACACCTAAAAATAAAGGTCACCCGTGTATTGAACATCTCCATGGCGTCCTTGTGACAACATTGCAGCGGATAAGCAGCGCATTCTGCAGCAACATTTCAAAAAAAGCAGCAAAGTTTGAAAGAAAAAGTTAGTGTGTTTGGCAGGGTTTACGAGCTTACTTTATTGTGTTTTTTTGTGTTGCGCCAGATGTTAAATGGAGCAACACAGACACCAACTTTGTTGAAGGAAAAATTTCATGAAAATGCGCACCGTTATACATTGGCTCAAGATCTTCTTCTAATCGGCGTGCCCGAGTTCCCAGGTTCTACAGCGAACCGCTGTGACACCAACTCCCCTGTACGAGAGGAATTCTGTTCCTCGAAGAGCAGGAGCACCGCAGAGTGAGCGGGCTAAACAAACACGTTTGTGTCTGCTTCCTTGAGAAAGAACAAGCAGAGGAAGTTTACGTGGTTGGTGGTGGTGGGGGGAGTTGGTTGGCCTTGGGCGAACCCAGTGGAAAGTGAATTAATTTGGGCTGTCATTTGAACAAAACAATGCAAGTTGTACTGGTAATTGTTCCTGTTCACGGTGGTTGTTGTTAACATGTTTGTGCATTACTGGACGAAATCTTGACAAGAAAATCAATGACTCCGTTGGAACTGTAGACACGGCCAATAATTCTACGGGGATGCGTTTGTGGGATGACTTGTGCCGAGTTGGGGGACGAGGAGGAGGAGGAAGTTGAAAGTGTGAATGGGGGCATTGCGGGTGGTGGTGAGTGGAGGACCCACAGAGTGATGGGGGATAAGAGAAGTTTAATTCGGATCAAGGTCACCACCGTGTGCCTTGCAGTGCAATACTGCGCACAAAGTGTTCTATGGTTAAGTAATAAAAAAAATATTATCTTTATTTTCCCCACTCAAAGGAGCAATGAGGCGGCGCTTGGTGGAAATGTCGAGTGTTGGGGCCAAGTCTCTGCCCGGGTTTGACCGCTGCTTTGTTGAACTTTCCACAAAGTGGCACAAATGACGCAATTTAATCATTCCGTGAGGTCTGATGGGCTTATTTGACCCCCGACCGGGTTGTGAACTCGGGTTTTGAGTCGAGCCCTCTGAAGTCGCAAAGGTTTAATCGACAAGTGGAACACTCGACCGAAATTGTGAATGCGGTGGAGCGCATTGATTAGGACACCGCACTTATGAAACCAGTGACCCGGGTTTGATTCATGGCCACAGGGCTCACGTGAGTGATGAAGCATTGCCGCTCGTGGTGCTCCCTGTTCACCAAACCACACTCGCCGGTGAAGGGGCCGGGGGGGTGAAATCGTGAAGTCAAGTGACCCCTATGACCGACATGGTGGTGTTGAGACATTCCTCCAGCGTTATATTGAAAAGCGGCTGCAAGTAATCATTATTATTATACTGCGTTCAATTGTAATGCATGACTCTCGTGATTTATCTCGGAAAGACAATTACTTAAAGACAATTACTTCGACTCACTTTGTTCGCGGTGAGCCCCTTGCTGCACTTTATCGCTCATCTGTCTTATGTTGCACCCGTGGCGATGTTAAATTCACCTTGTGAATGATTGTTCTGTTACTTGAGTTATTTGTTTAAAAGTTTTATTTTACATTATTAATCTTATTATTTTGACCGTCGCCTGCGTTGATCACGTGTGCGTTTCAGTTTGTTTTAAATCTAAGAACGAGAGAAGAGTGCCGCCTAGTGAGGGAAGTGCGTAAGTGGATAGGGAGCGGGTGACGGGTGCCTCGTTGAAGTTGGCAGGCGTAGTTTTTTACTTATTTTATTTCACCAGGTAAGCCCCACTGAGCGATAGAGTAGAGCTCTTTTTCAAAAGCTACCTGGCTCTCACAAATGACAGCCCAGCGAAGTGGCTTATCATCATGTAGAAAATGTATAGTGGCCAAACACTCTAAACGCGTGTTGTTGATTCTACATGTGGAGGGGCAAAACCGGAGGACCCGGTAAAAAGTTCACGCGATGACGGGGAGAACATGCAAACTCAAAATATCCAGCAGGCGTCAGGGTCGGGATCGACCCCACCACCTTCTGTGCACCAGACGAGGCAGATAACACCGCCACGTGGCGTCAATAGGAAAAGGATCAGAAATAAGGACATTGGCAATAATGGATTGACAATGTTATAAGTGCATAAGGATTGGGAAGAAGCATAGATAGATGCACGTGGATATATTGAGAGGCAGACATACTTTCGATCCGAGAACACACGGGTATCATCGTGACTGTTATGAAAAGTAAGTAGGAGTGGGCAGAAGACGTTCATGGCTGATGGTCGAGACCAACAACAGAGTATCAGCTAAAGGAGGGAACATGCCGAAGGGGACGTCGACCAGCAGATTAAGCGATGAAATCAGCAATGTTTGCAAGGTGCCAGATGGATTGTTACATTGCAGAAACAGATGGAAATGGCCCTGGAAAAAACCTTCATCCATCCAACAGCGGATTGGTTATAACTCATGATGGTGATGGGTACGAGTGGGTGAGAAGGCAAATGGGTAGATATGTGGGTAGATAGGCGGGGAGTAGCTAGGTGGTGCGTGTGTGTGTGTACGTGGGTTCATCCA